TGTGATTTGGGTGGCGGTCATGGAGACTGCTGCCCCCGCGACCCGGTAATGGATAAGCAGAATAAATTGGATGGATGGATAAAGATTAAGATATAACTGCAATACCTTTTATTTATTTACTTTTTAGACTAGTTGCAATAAATTGTGCTACTGCTCTCCAGTACTAGAGAATACAGTGATTTTGTAATTAAAGGCAGTTTTACCCTGTATATTTCTAAATTACCCCATCTTAAATCGACACAGAAGTATTAAATGCATTGCTTTTTTTTCTCGGTTTTAACAGATTACTGGTGGGCCAGTTAGTTTGTTCGTTAGATAGCTATATAGTGCATATGTTTTTAAGTAAGTGAAAGCACTGAGAATAAAAGTACCATATGAAGTGGATGTAGACCCTTCAGTCATCCTACGGTGTGCCAAATTAGTCTTCATGCTGATTATATCACAGACTATCTGCCTGTTCCCTCACATGCTTTGCAACGAAACGCTTTAATCTGGATCATCCTGTGCAACAACACAACACTCTGACATCATCTGACCGGCTGTAAACCGCACTTTTACTTCAGCTAGAAGCATCACACTTTTTTTCTTCCAAACTCCTGGAAACACAGCATCACAGTGCTCGTGTTCTGAGGATGTGGTTCTATTCAGTAACAATGCGAGTCCTCATGTTGACAGATGTTCCTACAGAGGAACACTCTGTAGGAACGCTCCTATCTCGCTTTCTGCCCTTGGTTTTACCAGGCTGCGTGCACTATTCTCCTTATTCCACTTTACATTGTTGCATTGTTAACATGTCAATACCCACAATCAATGAATGATTCTCCCATTGTGTTCGTATATAACAACAGGAAACAGTAATAGCAGGCGTTTTCACTGGAAGTAGACTGACACACTTCAAACCTTCTTGATCCTCCTTTTATGAAATGAGTTCACAGACATTTTTTTCCCCTCTTATACCCGCCCCCTGTAACAAAGGGACTCCCTAAATTTATCACGCTAGACAAAGCCTTTTTAAGTTAATTGGACGTCAACAGTGATTCAAGCTGACATGAAAAAAAAACATTCAATGAGGACTGGGTCGAGGAAAAGTGAAGCCTCAGGGCAACCGCTGTCTCAGTCAACGACCTCTGGTAGAATGTGGCAGCACTCAGAAGGCCAAGAGCAGAAGGGGATAAAAAAAATGAGCATGGACAGAAAACACTGCTAAGAGAAGTGAAAACACATTGGGTGAAGAAAAAGACCGGTCTGTCCAGCCAAGTTAACACTCACAGTTTCAAATGTGGAAAACAAGCCAATTAAGTTTTCTTCATTTTCCTTTTGTACTTTTTTTTTGCATTGGCATCGTTTTTATTGAATAACAGTGTCTTTGTCTACTTAGTCGTGGCTACAGACTGAAAGACCGTCATGCCCCCCTTGGGGACAGAAATGTTTTCACGCCCTACTCCCCCCAATCTGATGGCTACATCAGATGGGGTTCTTAGCTAAAACGTCCTAAAAAGTTTGTCAATACAGCCATAATTTAATTTAATTTAAATTAATTTAATATGAACATGAGATGCTTTTTAATATGCAATTAAATATTATATTCTTCATAAACAAAAAAATGTTTTTGTCAAATTTAGGAATGACAGACTACCTCAATTAATTATAAATAATCATGATTAATTCTTCTTCTTTTTTTCCTTCAGCATTGTCCCTTTTTTCAGGGGTTGCCACAGTGAATCACTGATTTCCATCTCTCTGTGTTCTCTGCATCTTCTACTCTGACTCCAACTATCTGCATGTCCTCCCTCACTGCATCCATATATCTCCTCTTTGGCCTTCCTCTTTGTCTCCTACCTGGTAGCTCCATCTCTAACATTCTTCTACCAATGTATCCACTGTCCCTCCTCTGCACATGTCCAAACCATCTCAATCTGGCTTCTCTAGCTTTTTCTCCAAACCTTCCTGTTTGTGTTGTCCCTCTAATGACCTCATTCCTGATCCTGTCCATTCTTGTCACTCCTAAAGAGAATCTTAGCATCTTTAACTCTGCCACCTCCAGCTCCTTCTCCTGTCTTCTACCTATTGCTACTGCTTAGCTGACACGCTTCTATCACAGATCACTCCTGACACCTTCTTCACCATAATTATAATATATATACCCCTCACTCAACACAGATTGTCTGAACCTGCACTTGGACTGTATCACTCACAGCACTTGAAATCCCTTTGTACAAACTGTGAGTAAGCAAAGGAGCATTGATTCCAATCAAATGTGCTAAATGTATACAATAATTACTGTGTGCAGCTAAGATCTCAGTAAGCTATTCTGAATTCTGATTTAAGGCCAGCACAGACATGTTTAGATGCATAGCTGAGAACATTTTAACAACTTTTCCATCAGTCTACACAGACTTCTCTTCACTTTGAATCCTGAAAATCAATGGTTTCACCAGCAGATGTGCAGTGTATCTTACCAAGATCTCCTTGAAGGCTGTTGTCATGAGAGGTTCTGCTTGATGTGGTGAAGTCCCCATCACCGGGCCAAGTCTGGCCCATTTTACGAACCCCCATGACGGAGGCATCAGACCCTATCACCTGCTGCCTCAGATGCTTCTGTGAGAGGGGTGTAGGGGGACTGCTGCTCTCCAAGGACCGCTGCGATGGGGAGCGGCTCTTTTCTCTGAACATCTGATAGGCAGTAGGACTAGGAGACACGTGGCTGGACTGGCCTGAGGAGAAATCCTCTTCACTAGATGTCAGGTTCTCATTGGAGCTGCAGTCTGGTGTGTAACCTCCTCCATCATCGAAGCTGCCGGGAGAGTAGGATCGCCTCGGCCAGGTGAGGGGCATGTCCTCTTCTATGTTGTCCCGAATATGGATGACTCGGGTGTCCCCATCACTCACCATTCCCCCCACGTAAACACTAGTGTACGGCTGACACTCTGGTGCTGGTGGTCTGTCAGACTTTGTCCCAGAGGAAGCATGATACACCCCATCTTTCAAATGGTGCTGGTTGACTTCGATGTCATCAAAGGATCCATTCAGACTACAGTTCCCCTCTGCAGACCCCCCTCTCTGAACACACCTTCTGTTCTCTCCTGCCACAGATGACAGGTTCCCTGGGAAAAACTGCAAAGACCTTTTTCGTTCGAACTGCATGGCCTGGCTGCCCAGGGTGCTGATCTTGTCCGACACCTCCATGTCATTGACTTTGACCAATCCGCGCTCGTTATGATACTCCATGTTTACATAGAACGGCTTCTCCTGGCTGCTAACCGTGGACATCACTTTGCCATCAGCAGCTGTGTGAGAGTTGGTTCTCCTGATCTGCTCAAAGTTGGATCTCAGAGCTGCCACAGACCCTGGGCCCACTGGGAATTGTGGAATCTCAGAGTCCTGCTGCACATGTGACACCCCACCCTTTTGTTTGGCAGAGGACTCTTCATCCTTCTGAATGTCTGGGTGTGGTTTACATCTATCTGTCTTCACACACCCTCTCTGCTGCTGCTCTTCCATGGGTGTCTCACCTGTGTGGGACCTGTGGTTGTCTGGACCACCATCAGGTAGGTCACCACCGGTCTGTGAGTTCCCTTTAAATCCCCATCTATGCCCGTCATAAGACTTCTTCTCTTTGGCCAGTAGAGTCTGCAGATAGATCATGCGAAAGCGCTCCTTGTTCACCCCCTTCTCCAAATGTCTGATGGAGGTCTTGCATTTGTCCAGCTCCTGCTCAATGTCCACCATAGAGTTCAGCTCCATGCACGGAGGCTCTGACTCTGGGAACTGAGCTCTCCACGCATCCACAAAGCCCACAGGTTCAACCATTTCTAATCACTGATACACACACACAAATAAATGTTCATTAAGGATGAAGAGTCGCAGATAAACATCTGTGGAGAAAGGCGTGGACTTTAAAAGTTAAAGCCTCCATTCGGAGAATGTAAAAAAAACACGTCAATCTCTGCAAACGAAAAACTCCGGCCACGACGAAGGAAGGTCGTAGTCCCCTTTAAGTTTCTAAATAAATGTCAAATTTGAAAAAAAGTGTTTTCTTTAACGAATTCTTCTTCTCCTCTGCTCCCGGTTTCTCCTGCTCCTCTCCCTCTGTGTTTAGTGTCACACTGAACTCCTGTGCTGTTTTGGCTTTTCGTCAGCACAAAGAGGAGGAGCCGCATGGACTCGAGTGAAGCATAAACACACACACGAGCGAGAGAGAAAAATCTGTTGTTTTTAGAGTTCAGGGGAAACGGAACCTTCCGTAGAAACACCTTTAGCATTTTAGGTAGCCTACATATAATTTTAAAAAAAAGTTTTTCAAAGGTGATGAACACTAACGGCAGAACAGGACTTCATCTACCAAATCTTATCAAGTGTTACGGGTTTTATTTCCAAACACACACAGAAATATCTAAAAAATAAAGCTGCTTCTATATCGTGTTACGTAGTTAATTACTACAGATAATAAATATATAATTAATAATATTAGTTATTCACTCCTTGTATTTTATGTAACTCCACACTTAAGCAAATACACCAATTTGAACGTGGTAATTTCTCGAACTTCGCACTGAGGCTCACGTAGGTGAACCGGGACTCAAGAGCCTCCTGGTGGCGCTGGCCGGTAATAACTGTCTATCCTTTATAACGTGGCTCATCAGAGAATTTTATATTGAGCTATTTAATGAATGCATCATAATTAGGGTGGCAAAAAAAATCTAAATAAGTCATACTAATGCCCACGTCAAAAATGTGATAGTCATTAATATAGCTATATTAAAATTGGCGTTTTTATTGTGTTTTTAATGTGGAAATGAAAACTCTTGTGATCTTGTGAACTTCTTCAGTACGCTGAATTGACGTTATCTCTGGCCTAAATCAATGTCATTTTTAACGAAATAATTTTTTTACATTCGTGATTACAGTGCAAAACGCGCCTCCTAGTGGAAGTTAGACAAATATGACTACACGCTGACCTGAAGGCAGGGGCGTGGTTTCGACGTTATGAAGTCTGGACTTAAAGACAGACAGACAGAGAAAAACAGACGGCAACAGACCGGGAGGATAGTGATTGACCAAAGCAATGTCTGCAGGTGGTGAGTTCGAGTCTCTGGAGGAGATTTTGGAGCGACATGTACCTGAAGCACAGCTCAGTGAGGTGAAGCGTATTCTGTTCGGAAAGGAGATAACGTAAGTCCGGATATGTCAAATATATAAACATTTCTAATGTTAAGACCAAAAAACAAAACAAAACAAAACTACTTAAACAACTTTGCCAAACGTCTGCAAAGGGAAGTTATGCAAAATGAAACTGAGCAACGCAAGATTCATAGAGGAGAAAAGCTGAGACGTCATAAACAGTGTCAAATAATTGTTGCATCGACGTTAATGCGATACTTCATGTGATAAGATTAAATGCATATGTACAGAACGAACACCGAATCCAAAGTACGCTGGACAGTCTGACGCACGTTGGTGAGTTCGAGGTTCACATGTGGTCAAAGTACAAGTTTTCCCCAGCGATAGTAACAGTGGCACTGCAGCTATAGTGGTTAATCCACCAATGTGACTTGATGTGACAAAAGGCTGCAAGAAAACAGACAGACAGACAGATAGACAGACAGACAACTTGGTCGACATGCTTTGATAAATGGTCAGCCATTTTGGCCCACATCTTGTATCCAGTGGTCCACATGAAAATGTGGGCTCTGGGTCTCAACCAAAGCTATTCTTATTCAATGTCACTGTTTATTCTGAGTCAGTTATTGTTGTGTTCAGTGTGTGATTTTTGGCTAACCAACTCAGTTACCTGTCCTGAGGAAGAATCGCTCACTGACAAGACTCAACAAAAAGGGAAATCTGTCTTTTTCATTTTCTGCTGATGTGGGCTACAAAATAAAGCAGAAGTCTCACATACATGATACAGGGTCAGTGAGTTGGGACACAGGACAAAATGCCCTAGCAAAGCTAAAAATCAATAGCAAAAAAGTAAAAAGTAAATTAATAGCCAAATAACAACAATGTATGAATCAGTGTTATCTTACATGTTCAAAATGTACTATATGTGGCACAGTAAGCTGCTTTTGCCGGAAGAGGCTATAGAAACTGCCAAAGAATGTAACTTCGAGCTGAAAGGTTATGGGTTTGAAGCTGCTCCGGAACAACTGAGGCTACCCAGGAAGATCAGAGTGGGACTCATACAGAACCACATTGTCCTGCCCACATATGCTCCCATCCTGGACCAGGTCAGGATTCTGGTTATCAAATAAACCAAATTGTGCAGCCCACATTGGTTTGTTTCATTCTAAAACTCCTGAACGTCCATACCACAGATTAATGCCATACACCAACGGGTCGGTCAAATGGTCGAAGTGGCAGCCATGTGTGATGTGAACATCATCTGCTTGCAGGAGACCTGGAGTGAGTTCTTAACGACACTGTCTTCTAACTGCTTCATGTGGTCTACTTAAAGGATCCCACATTTGAATGTGGACTGCTTTCATCAGGTTTACTGTAAAAGCCACACCAAACTACTTGACTCTCCTCTGTTACAGCCATGCCTTTTGCTTTTTGCACACGTGAAAAAGCACCATGGACAGAATTTGCTGAATCAGCTGAAGAAGGAAACACCACACGCTTCTGCCAAGAGGTGAGTTTCAGAGAACTACAAGTCTGATTGCTTTGATTTTCTGCAAGTCTTAAAAACTCTACACTTCTCTTATCAGCTGGCCAAAAAATACAACATGGTCATTGTTTCTCCAATCCTGGAGCGAGAAAAGCTGCACAACACTATATGGAACACGGCAGTGGTCATCTCTAACTCTGGGAATGTGCTTGGAAAGACCCGGAAGAATCACATTCCCAGGATTGGGGACTTTAATGAGGTTGGTGTGTTTGGATACATAGCATAGCTTCTTTTACATCTTGTACCTGAGTGATGTAGTGATGTAGACATTTTAGTCATTGAACACAGACTTTAACTTAAAGAAAAAAAAGTGTAGTAAAAAAAAAACTTATTGGCAAAATAAAATATCTTAAAATCTAGAATTTACAATTTGCACACGTTGTAGTTGACCACAGTTGAGGAAAGAGGAAACCACAACTATTGCTAAACTAAAGTGAAGACCTAAAACAGAAAATAGTAAAAACTAACTCAAAGATACTAGAGGTTAGCATTTGTAAAGTTAGCATAAAATACAAAGAATGGTTTCAAAACATTTTTTACATCCAAAATTGAGAAAAAAGCAGGAAGTGTTAGCTTGAAATAACACACTTACAGACAAAGAAAAAAACAAACAAAACGAAAAAATATACCTTAAAGGTATTAAAAAATAAACTTAAACTTAAGGTCCGCTAAAGGTGGAACAAAAACAATCTTCAGTTAATGAAGCTATAAGTAAATACTTACAACATTATAGCAACATATGTAGCTGCAGGTTAACAGAAAAGTGTTGGAAAAGAATTCACTTTGTCATAGAAAAGTTCTCACTACCATATTTACCTTACACCATTTACAGTCCACATATTATATGGAGGGCGACACTGGCCACACAGTATTCCAGACGGTGTTCGGCAAAATCGCCGTGAACATCTGCTATGGTCGCCACCACCCTCTGAACTGGTTCATGTACAGCATTAACGGAGCCGAGATCATCTTCAATCCCTCAGCCACTGTTGGAGCGCTCAGGTAAATGTTTAGGTATATTCTTTTTTAATTAACACAAGAGTCAAACTCAGAAATTAGTCGGAACTTTTTTCTTGAATTTAACTTCATGTGGCTTTTATTCAATAAAGGGATGATATAGGGTGTGTAATTCATGTGTTTGCCAGAATTAGCTTAGCGTTCATAAGTGTCCTAAATTCGAATTATAATTAGTTAACCAAAATGGTGTCTCCTAGGAAACCATAATTAGAACTACTTTAATATTTCAAATCTGTTATTGCTCAGTGGTCATTATTATTATTTTCTACAGTGAGCCCATGTGGCCAATAGAAGCCAGAAATGCAGCCATAGCAAACCACTGCTTTACATGTGCCATCAACCGAGTGGGAACGGTGAGTGAAGTCTGACACAAACTGGGGAAAAACTGTATTCACAGCTGATGACACCAGGTTTAAAAACTGTGTTCCTACCCTATCAGTCATTTGTTTTTCTTTTTCTTCAGGAGACTTTTAAAAATGAATTCACCTCAGGTGATGGAAAGAAAGGTATGCCTTTTCTTTTATTCAGAAAAGTTGCTGTTATTTACCCAAAAAATGAAACATGAATCAAAAGAAACTGTGAATATGTTATAAGTAATGGTTGTAAAAAGAACCACATAAAGTTGCACCTGAAGAAATCATGAAATATAGCCCTGAATTATTACAGAGCTTCACAGCTCATTAACATAATAGTGTATGATTTAATTATGGGTTCTTACACACAGTGAAGTCTTGATGGTTATTTTTAAACTTCTGTAATATTAAAGTCTGCTTTACTGACTTTTGCAGCTCGTAACGACTTTGGACACTTCTATGGATCCAGTTACGTGGCTGCTCCTGATGGCAGCCGCACTCCGGGCCTCTCTAGAACACGTGATGGACTGTTGGTGGTGGAAATGGACCTTAACCTCAACCGACAAATCAGTGATATATGGAGTTTTAAGGTAAACCTCACATTTAGCAAAGTTCAACAGTCCTGAAACATCATAGTGTAAACTATCTAACCAACACATGATGTAGTAGCATCTTCTGTAAGACCAAAATAATCCTTGTAAAAAATCTGACTCACCATGATAAAAATGAAGATGATATAAACATAGCAAGAAAACTAAATTTTACCACAAAATGTTCATTAAAAATATCTTAAATTTATTTTAACCGCAACCAGGGTAAAATTATGTAAATGATAGATAAATGATGGACACAGAATTACCCTAGTGATGAACCTACAGTACGTCTACTCTGGAACTGTCAAAAGACAGAGACTGAAAATCATCTGGTTGGCAATTTAAAGTTAGCGTCTTCTAGCCAAAAGTTAGCTGACGTGTGAAACCTAACTGGTACCACTGTTATATCTGTGTGCAGATGACTGGCAGATATGCTGAATATGCAGAGGAACTGAGCAAAGCTGTACAACGTGACTTCAAGCCCAACATAGTGAAGGAGGAGTAGAAGATCCACCAACACTGTTTTCTCTCTACTGACTATTATAGTATTAAACGTGTTGATTTGGTAAGAGATACATGAGTGCCAGTTTTATTTTCTTGCAATAAAAACAAGACTATTTGAATCCCACATAAACCAATAACAACACTGAACAAATGATAACAATTTAAACTGTTTATTTGTAACACAATAATCGCAGTTCTATATTTCATTAAAAAAAAAAACTTTAAATGTGCCATTCCTTTTCACCCTAAAGAAGAAGAAACCACTTCCATAAGATTTATTTTCACAATTAAATTTTTCAACATAAAAACTCTGGTATGAAAACTTTAGTGCAAAATATGTATATACATCATACAGACATTAAATGGTATTACAAATAACTGAAAATGATAACCTGACATTGTTCACAGGAGTGAGATGACACCCCAGTTTTCACTGCTTACAGCAGAAACTTCAAAATTCACTAAATTCTTAATTACAGTTAACAGCCAAGTGGACCTCATTAGGACGTGAACAGTGATTTGCACAGAACTCAAAAACAAAAAACCACAGATTCAACTTGGACCATGCCTTGAATGTCCGGGGACTTCAGGCACTCTCACAATTGAATCTCATCAACGTATATTTCATTGTGTATGTATTTCATTCCTTGAACTTGAAGTAAACTGGGTACACAACATGGACAACTTTTTTTCTGTGATTCAGAATCTGAGAAAGAAAACAACCACTGGACCGGGATATGACTTGGAACTTGAACTTTCCACACTGACTCTGACTCAAGTCTAAACAGGTTTGGTGACTTGTACAACAGTTTTTTATTGGCAGGATTACTCTCACTGGACTAGAGCTTCTTCTTCTTTTAACTTTGACATAGATTAAAACAAAAAACTCAAAAACCTTGAGGACTTGATTCAAAGACACAGAGACAAAGAGTCTGATGGTTCAAGTCAGAGTGCATAATCCTATCACACTGGTTAAACTTCATGTATTCTTCTTTCCATTTTGATGATAATACTCAAGTCTTGTTCTAGGACTTTTCTTTGGAATCAGAACCATTGTTAAGTAGTCTATTGTTCTTTCCCGCACTTCTATCAAACTGGAACTTTACAATCATCAGCGTCACTTCAGAAATTGTAAGTCGAGGCCTTTCAGTTGTGTCTTATCACTTTCTACACAAACCGGTTGTGTAACTGTGTCAGGGCCATAGAAACCTGAGAAACTCCAAATAAATCTGATATTTCACTGCATTGAAACATTAATCACAACAGAGAAAATTAAAGTACAGTATGAGGTGATTATGATTGTAGGTCCATCCACAGTAGCAGTGGCACAGCTGATGAATGGGCAGCTAAACACGTCGTATAACCCAAAACCTGAGACTTATGAAACTGAAGTTATACTTCTGACCTTTTTTACTTGAAGTTCCAGCTTTCACTCCTCTGAGATTTTTATAACTCAATGAGAATTTAGAATTTTCTCTGAATTTTCCCTTTTTACTCTCAGAACCTTCTGATTAAAGGTAGAATTTGAAATTTCTTACGGTACGACTTCCTTACGGGGGAAAGTTTGCTTTTCTTTATCATTCCCATAGAGTATTTGCTGCTTAAAGTCATTTTTTATTATTTATTATTACTCTCCAAATTAATCTTAACCAAATCTCAAGTTTTTAAAATCCATTATCTCGACCTCAAGATTTTGATCTCAATCAAAGAGTTGATGTAATTGCACAATTTTGAAACATCTATGTAGTAAAATCCCTATTTTTTCTGGTAGAGTTGAGAGCAGCTTCACCTTTGGGGACTGACGTCACTCCTTATACAAAATAGATATCATCTCCTGACAGTTCCTATCAAAGGTCCTGAAGCTTATGTTTCATTTACTACACGTGTCAAAACTCCTTTTCTCACAGTTTCAGATATTATAGTCTATTAATATGGAAATGCAGTTTTTAAACTTTAACATATTAGTGTTTTTAAAAACCATTCTAACGTCCTGTTTGTGTGAAGAAACAAAAACAACAATACATCCTCAATTCTGTCATGAACACAAAGGTTGGACTGTACAAGAGGGAATGAGTGTGAAGATTCCTCCATAGGTTTTTCTTTTCTGGAGAGCAGGGCAGCAGACACCTCCTGACTCCAGGCTAAGATCAAGGCTCTAAGACAGGACAGCTGCAGCAGCAGCAGCAATATTATGAGAAGCAGAATAAACCCAACGTATGTATCCATCAACTGTCCTTATAGACAAACAGGATGTCTTCGTCTGTGCCATAACTACATCGAGCCTCCTCAAAGTTACCAACACTGGTGCAGCACACCCCTAAAACAAAGACAAAATATATAAATACATCAGAAACAGATCGGCTCTACAGTGCTTTTGGAGGGTAGAGAGAGAACATCTAGAGTTACTTACTATCAGAATAGGCAGGATTGTTGTAGAAAATGCTACTTGTTTTCCTGTTAAAGCCACATACAACCACAAAGTGACCCTGGTAGTCCGGCTTCCTGCAGAAACACTTCTGACCGGCGGGCATGAAGCAGCAGTATTTGACTGGTGAAGAGCACAGCTCACACGTCAAGATGACAGCGTTCACTAGCACTATGGCAACGTGGCCCTGTTCCAGATGAGACTGGATTTCCTCAACAGTGACTGAACTGCAGAGACAGAAAACCATTGACACATTTAACAGGTCCTTTCAATTTGGGTCAATTCAAAATAAGCATATCCAAACAAATGGTAAACAACAGAATACTCACCATTTTTTCAACACCACGCCTTTGCTGTCAGCATTCAAGAAGAGCTCATTAACTCTGTCTTCTTCTGTGTCAAAGTGTTTCTTATAAAAAGACTGAAAACACAGACACAACAGACACTGTCAGAGAGAGAGATTCAAAACTGGAAAAAGAAGTACTGACAACTCTGGTACCTACCTGATTCCTGAAACCCTTATCCACACCTAGAGTCTGTGTGCAAAAGCAGTGTTTGATTCCTAGATGACACATGAGGTAGGCTAGATCGATAGTCCACACACTCTCTGTCAGCTGAAGATCCCAGCATGCTCTCTGGAACTCCTCATCGTGGACTGGATGAAGATACCTGCAGGTGAGAGACAGACTGAGCCTCACTCACTAGTAAATACAGAGCAATATATGTAACAGTGTGATGATGGCTTATTATACTGTATTTCATAAGCGGTACTGTTTACCTTTACATTTTCAGCATTTGCCCAAGGCTGTTTAAAATATCTATAATTTAATAATTCAAAACACTTTAGTATTCGGGACAGTGATGGACAACTTTATATGTGCTGCAAGAGGGACATTTTCAGTGACAGTGATGTCTATGTGCTAATGAAACATAGTTGCAGTGCCCTGTCTTTCTGGGCAGGGGTAAAGACGTAGCTGAATAGGCTAACAACATGCTCTGAACTGGAAGTACAACGTTAACAACCAGGCTCAAAGAAACACCTGGAGCAGAGTACATGATTTAACCTCTTAAATATCATCATATCTTAAAAAAAAAGAAAGAAAAAAGAAAAAAGATGCCTTACTTGAGGACCATCTTGGAGCAGGCCAAGCCACAGTCCCAGTGTGACAGCTGCCGAATGATCGGAACATCCAGCCGAACGTCATCATCTATGGAGTGCGGTGGATTTATTGTTAATTATAATCACAAAATGGTGACGCAGTAATTACAATACATCTGAATTGTTTAGTCATTATATGGCGTTGACTCACCTGTCATTCTGTTATGTCTTGACCCCATACAGTCTGCTCGCTCTTTAGAACAGTGTTTTTTCCTCATCGATGAAAACTGATGAAAACTGTCTTTTGAAAGACAGCGACTTTAGCCGCTAACGCCGCTAACTACACGTTTCTTGCAACATGGACCACGTTCGGAAATCCAGCTTAATAAATTGGTATGACGTTTAGACGATAGTAATGATACTTTAAACACTAGTTATGTCAGTTTTAAACTAGCAATTGTGGGATAGCTGCCGTTGTTTTGCTGTAATCAGTCTGACCTGACTGTCAAGCTTCGGATTCTTGTGTTCAAAGTGATGCTGCCACCGTGCGGCTCGGAGGACTAACCCTCTAGTAAATGTATAACCTAAAAAGATAAAATTATAAAAGAGAGAAAAAAAGAAAGAAAGGCTCATCTTCCTCCCACAGCTACCAAAAAAATTACAATACTTCATATGGCTAGTCCTCTTGTCTACATATCTATATAATATACTAAACATTAAAAAAACGTAAATATGTATAGGCTATATAATGCTACACGAGTATTATACATCTGATAATAAATCAACTGTTGTAATCAATGAACAAAAAGGCAGACTTTCACCTCCAGGGCAAGTGCCAAACTAATGTCTAGACAATATTAGATAAAATGAAACATGAAGAGCATGAAACCAAGACCATGGTTAGTTTATGTTCTGTTAATTTTCTTCAACACGGAAAAAGATACAATGTCACTTTGATCCAAAAGTACCTCAGATATAGAATCTGTATAAAAGAACATTAATTCACAGACACTTTGGCATCCTCTTTGTTACTAGCACAGTTCAGCTTAGAATAAAACTGTTTATACATCGCCTTTTTTCAGTTTTATTTTCCTGTTTATGAAGTCTATTGTGTCATATTTATACAGATAAGACAGACACCACACACAATATACGAAGGGATATGTGTAATATATTTTCTTTTCTAAGACACAACACGTTAACAAATACTAATCCTGAAACAGTCTTAATTTGTCTTCAGTGCTGATTTTTCAAGTATGAAATGAAGGCATCTACAACGAACTGTATAAAGTACCAACACCCCCAAGGGTAATCTTTGAAACCAAGTTTAATAAAACAAGTCAACAATTGCTGTCAATGGGATCCAAAATATTTTCCTAATTTTTTTCCTATTACTTCTGAGGGTACGACCATTGATACCGTATATTCAACATACTATAAGTACTATGAAACCTTAACTGTTTTCATATGAATCCTTGTCAGAGAACAGTAATAACCTAATATTTACCTTGGAGAGAGCCAGGTATTAGGACTGTGTATGTGACCCCCTCCTGTCTGTGCACTGGCTTAGTTTAAATAGAATATGTTTTTTACCTTGTATTAAAGTGCATAATCCCCTCCTTGAATCGCAACCTTAATGTGGTGGAGGGGTTTGAGTATCCGAATGAACCTAGGAGCTACTGTATGTTGCTGGGGGCTTAATGCCCCTGGTAAGGTCTCCCAAGGCAAACAGGTCCTCGGCGACGGATCAGATAAATAGTGGTTCAACCCCCCCTTGATGAAGAAAATGATTAAATCAAAGAGATTCCCCACTCTGGAGCAAGGCCCGGGGTTGGTGCTCGCAGGCGAGTGCCTGGTGGCCGGGTCCTTGCTCACGGGACCTGGCCGGGCTCAGCCCGAACAAGCGGCGTTAGCCCGCAGGAAGGCCCACAAGGGGCCGGTGCCTTGTGATTTGGGTGGTGATTATGGGCGGAGACACCTGGAGGGGCGTGATTGGGAAGAACGGCCTCCCCGATCTAAATCCGAGTGGTGTTTTGTTATTGGACTTCTGTGCTAGTCACAGTTTGTCCATAACAAACACCATGTTAAAAAACATAAGGGTGTCCATCAGTGCACTTGGCACCAGGACACCCTAGGCCGGAGGTCAATGATCGACTTTGTAGTCGTGTCATCTGACATCCGGCCATATGTATTGGACACTAGGGTGAAGAGAGGGGCTGTGCTGTCAACTGATCACCACCTGGTGGTGAGTTGGCTCCGCTTACGGGGGGCAAAGCTGGATAGACCTGGCAGACCCAAACGTATCGTGAGGGTCTGTTGGGAACGTCTGGCGGAATCCCTGGTGAAGGGGGCCTTCAACTCCCACCTCTGTGAGAGCTTTGAGGGAGGCTGGAGACATCGAGTCTGAGTGGACTATGTTCTCCACTTCCATTGTTGGCGCAGCTGTCCGAAGCTGCGGCCGTAAGGTCTCCGGTGCCTGTCGTGGTGGCAATCCCCGAACCCGGTGGTGGACACCGGAGGTAAGGGAAGTCGTCAAGCTTAAGAAGGAGTCCTACTGAGCCTGGTTGGTTCGTGGGACTCCTGAGGCAGCCGACAGGTGCAGACAGGCCAAGCGGACTGCGGCTCGGGTAGTCGCGGAAGCAAAAACTCGGGTCTGGGAAAAGTTCGGGGAGGCGATGGAGGAGAACTACCGGTCGGACTTAAAAAAATTCTGGCAAACCATCCGGCGCCTCAGGAAGGGGAAGCAGTTTCCCACCACTGCCGTTTACAGCTGGTGGAATATTTCGAGGATCTCCTCAATCCCACTGACATGCCTTCTGCAGAGGGAGGCAGTCAAAAAGCTGCTCGGTGGAAAGGCGCTGGGGGTGGATAAGATCCACCCTGAGTACCTCAAGTCTCTGGATGTTGTGGGGCTGTCTTGGTTGACACGTCTCTGCAGCATCGCATGGCATTACCTCTGGACTGGAAGACCGGGGTGGTGGTGCCTCTTTTCAAAAAAGGGGACCGGAGGGTGTGTTCCAACTATCGGGGGATCACACTCCTCAGCCTCCCGGGAAAAGTCTATTCCAGGGTACTGGAGAGGAGAGTCCGGCCGATAGTCGAACCTCAGATTTAAGAGGAACAATGCAGTTTTCGTCCTGGTCATGGAACACTGGACCAGCTCTATACCCTCCACAGGGTGCTTGAGGGTTCATGGGAGTTTGCCCAACCGGTCCACATGTGTTTTGTGGACTTGGAAAAGGCCCGTATCCCTCGTGGTATTCTGTGGGGGGTGCTCTGAGAGTATGGGGTCGGGGGCCCTCTTCTAAGGTGTCTGGTTCCTGTACCATCGGAGTAGGAGCTTGGTTCGCATTGCCGGCAGTAAGTTGGACCTGTTCCCAATGCATGTTGGACTACGGCACGGCTGCCCTTTGTCACCGGTTCTGTTATTTTTATAGACAGAATTTCTAGGCACAGCCAGGTGTCGGGTGGGGTCCAGTTCGGTAGCCACCGGATTTCATCTCTGCTTTTTGCAGATGATGTGGTCTTGTTGGCTTCTTCAAACCAGGACCTGCAGCATGCACTGGGGCGGTTTGCAGTAGAGTGTAAAGCAGCTGGGATGAGAATTAGCACCTCTAAGTCCGAGGCCATGGTTCTCGACCGGAAAAAGGTGGTATGCACCCTTCGGGTCGGGGATGAAGTCCTGCCTCAGGTGGAGGAGTTTAAGTATCTTGGGGTCTTGTTCACGAGTGAGGGTAGGATGGAGCGTGAGATTGACAGGCGGATCGGTGCAGCGGCCGCAGTAATGCGGTCGCTGTATCGGTCCGTTGTGGTGAAGAAGGAGCTGAGCCTAAAGGCAAAGCTCTCGATTTACCGGTCGATCTACGTTCCTACCCTCACCTATGGTCATGAGCTTTGGGTCATGACCGAAAGAACGAGATCCAGGATACAAGCGGCTGAAATGAGCTTTCTCTGCAGGGTGGAGCTCTGTCACACAAGAGGAGCTCGAAGTAGAGCCGCTGCTCCTCCACATCGAGAGGAGTCAGCTGAGGTGGCTTGGGCATTTACATCGCATGCCCCCTGGACGCCTCCCTCGGGAGGTGCTCAGGTCCTGTCCCTCTGGGAGGAGACCTAGAGGAAGACCTAGGACACGCTGGAGCGACTACGTTGCTCGGCTGGCCTGAAGAAGAGCTGGAGGAAGTGTTGAGAGAGAGGGAAGTCTGGGTGTCCCTGCTCAGACTGTTGCCCCCGCGACCCGGCTGGATGGATAAAGTGCATAATATGTCAAAGATTTAAACATGAAAGCATCTTCACTTGACATTCTCTTTCCTTTTAAGTTCACGTCTTTCCCACTACAATTATGAAGTGAGCTCAATATTTTTACAGGGTTCAGGTACAAAAAACAAAACAAAAAACAAAGAAAAAGTGAGTGTCAATTAAGACACTGTTAAAAAAAATCTGATGATTATTGGATCTAAAAATGTTGGAATTGTGGGTCTCACACAAGTCTGTATTTCTTTGTTTTCTAAAACTGATGAACAGAAAGTTTTTTTTTTCTTTTTAGCTTATTTAGTTTTTTTGGGAAAGGACTACAACAACACCTGTAGAGCAAGTAGTGTGACATATGAAACATGCATTTAGGGCCTTCGTTTGGGAAACAGAGTGGATAAAATCTAACGCACCTTTACAAACATACAGACGCAGGATATGACCTGGTTCATGAGACTAAATACCAAACCAGCAACAGAGGCTTCTCAATTCTGCTACCAGAAAATTGAGAAAGTATGACCTACTAGCTAAAGGTAAACAGTCCACAGCAATAAGGTAAAGGTAACAGTATTTAGCTGTAAAATGTGTCATGTATTTAAATAACCATTCGGCTCTCCTCTCTTAGATTTCTGATAACCCATCTGAGAAAATATCCCATCCTAGAAAAAAGGATCCATCTTTCATTAAAATTATTCTATTGAACACACCAAAAGTAAAAAAAAATCCAGGGGTTTCACATTCGACTAAAAACGAAATCAAGCCCTCCGTCGTGCAGGTTGCCTTCATTTGCATTGTCAAAGCTGTTCTTCCCGTGGATCTGTTTGAGGTGCTTTCGAAGAACTGGCTTGTGTGCAAACACCATGTCACAGTAGTTGCAGCGGTGTGGTTTGTCCCCGCTGTGCAGGTTAAGGTGATCCTGTAAGGAACATTTCTGGGTGAATGTCTTACCACAAATTTTACATTGGAAAGGCTTGATGCCGGCATGGACGCGCATGTGTCGATGCAGATTGCCCTTCTGTGTGAAAGTCTTTCCACATAGAAGACACATAAAGAGCTTGTGCATCTTCAGGTGGTTGGCATAATTCTCAAGTTGTCGAAATACCCTGGCACACTTTGGACACTGGTGGTACCACTGTAGGGGCTTGTCGTAGTTTCGCTGGTGGGTGCTGTGCTTTTCCGAGGGAGGCGATCGAGGGGGTGGACTGAGCGGGTATTCAGTGATGCCGGATGGAACTGTCATTTCACTGCTGCGACTGTCTACTGTGGAGTTGATGAGGGAATGCTGTGGCTCCGGGGAGCTCAGAGCAGCAGGTGGGCCAGCAGTGGAGTTTTTTACTGTGTCAGATACTGATTCTACCTTTACAATTGTAATGTCACCATTCGTTCTATTGTGCTTTGAGTTTTTGCCTAAGATCTGGGGAGGGGACTTGGGTTGCATAAACACAACACCGTCAACTTTGTCATCACAGTCAGCATCTATGTCATTATCAGAACTTTTGTCATGAAAGCTTTCTTGCTCCTTCTGGGCCTGAGAAGATGAACCCTCCACACTCTTAATACCCACATCCAAAGGCAACTGTCGAGGAGCCTGAGGCCCGATGAACTTACTAAGAGCTTCAGTGCACTGTGCAACGATGTGACCCATTTGAAGGAAGCTGGCCACAGTTAGATAATGTACCAGCTCCAGCTCTGGAAACTCCAGCTGGCCAGTGTAGCATGACAACAGCAGCTGTTTTCCAACCTCTGCCTGCTGGATCAAGGAGATCTGCACTTCCCCAGAGTCCTGCTGCAGGATGAACTGATCTCTCAAGAAAGACGAGCCAGCGGCAAACACCACTTTGTGACCAGGGAACTTCAGCTGGTTGATGCGCACAGTGACGTCACAGAAGCGTCTCTGGTGTCGGAGCATGTTCATCTTTTGCAGCATGGTGTCGCCAAAAGTGGCAAAACAAAACTGCAGGATCACCTGGTTCTGAGCCATAGTGAGAGCCTGTAGCACTTAAAAAATACAAACAAAGAAACTTAAATTTAATAACATAGGACCTTAAGAAATGGCAAATTCAGTTTAAGGCTAAGCAGCTACCAAACACAATACTCTCAGTGCTGACAAGGACACAACAAACTTTTAACAGTCCCTAAAAAAAACCCTATCAAACTTTGCTTATAGTATAACAACAAAAATGTTTGGATTCTCTTTTATCAGTTTGTTTTTTACAGTGGAAGGTTCTATGACAGACCCAAGAGCCAACTACTGTATGTGTTTTTAGCCAGATTTAAATGGATGCTAGATTTAAGTGCACAACTAAAGAGACAACAAAAACCACTGACATCCATGACTCTTTAAAATAAAATGAATAAATACTTCTGCTTTCGCTACTGGTACCTCACTAAGCGTTTCCTGAGCCTACTTAACTAAGTTCCTCGTTTTTGTGCAACAGCAACCACGTATAAGTCTTATATTTATAGTCTTACTTGACCGCCGAATTACAAACATTAAATTCAATAGCGTCTCTAGCTTTCTTGTCATATTGTCAAGTCAAACATTTAAAGAAAAACTAACAACTGATATTAAACTCATGCCGTTTTCTACAGAGTTTGGTGTGTGTGGACTTAGCTTAGCAACACTGATAACACGAACAAGCAGTGTCTTTCTGCGGAAAAGGATAGGTGTTATTCAATGTTGCGTCACAATAACCTTAACATATTATCAGTGTTCGTCATTATGATTTTTCAAAGCTGTGTCACAAGTACATCAACAAACCGTGGCCTACCTCTGCTGTTCAACCATTATCCCTAAATACTGTTTACGTCATTGGACTCTAACGTCATTTCACCAGCATAGATGTAGAAAATTGTTGAGCAGTGATTAACCTGTGTAAACAAACGTCTTGTGAAATATTTAGCAAATTAAGGAAAACATTAACTACCAACCTGCAAGAATCTGACGACTGAAAGAACTGCTTTTTCTTCTCTTGTTTTTACTGAAAACAACATAATTCTTGTTCTTCTGCCACCAACTGGTGTAAAGTGAAAATGTCAGATATGCCGCATTCAGTAAACCAGGGGTGCCCAATAAGTAGATCGGATTCACTCAAAGGGAGGTAGATCTGGTAGATCCTGAGCAATTACATTTAAAGAAACAAACAAACAAACGACAACAACAACAAAAACAAATGATAAATGTAATTCTATTTTAAGATGCTAATCACCAGAGCTAAAGTAAGGACCATAGAAGTATTGAGTCAGACGATATTGTGCCATACAACTACAGCCATTTAATCAAAGTAGTGAATATATATTTATAGTTTTCAATGTAGGCAGATCACTTTACCCCAGTCATTTGAAAAGTAGCTCCCAAGTCGAAAAAGTCTGGACCCCCCTGCAATAAACCATGTGGAATGAAGGACCATGCTGAGTTCCTAAAATTTCCAAACAACATTGTATAATACCGTAGTTTAGAGTACATTATTATCCAAAGAATTAAGTCATAATTGAACGTTGGTGAGTCCACTGGAAGGAACCAACCGCCCTAACCAGGATTTGATCTTGCCCAGGAGGTGAAGCCTGGGGTTCCACACCAATGACAGAGACATTGCCTCTGGGCCAAAGCGCCACCACAGAAGGAACAAACTTGGCATTTTATGATTTGTTGTGGATTTATTAATAGCGCTATAAAATGTAAAAAAACACAATTGATCAAAAAACAAACAATTCATTTTACAGACTGTCAGCAGTGAGGATTGTCATGTCTTCTTGAAGAACCTAAGAAGAGACAGAAACAAAACCTTTCATTAGTAGTAAATTTATTTCTAATACATTTATGAAGAATGCTCAAATTGGCTTTAAACAACAACACTCCAGAGTATTATTACTCTGGAATTCTACGTGCCCTCATACATAATGAACAACAATAGATTTTATTTTCATTTGTTTTTAAAGCAAACACTGTGTTTAGGCATATATTTCAGACTGGGATTAAATTCACAATACCAATCCAAAATTGATTAGTTGTTTTTTTTATCTAAGTTCAACTGTGTTTCTTCCATACCAGATAAAACTGTATCCTCCTATTATGGCCAAGGCACACAGTCCAACTGAAGCAGCAGCACACAGTGATGAAACCCTCAGGACATAGGACGTACCTGAAACCAGAAAAGACATCATGTGACCACCATACTCAGGTTCTTACACTTTCTGCATATATTATTCACAGAATGTGAGAAAATAAATCAGAATCTTAAAGTTTAGTTAAGTACCTCTTATTTTGGCCCACAGGGCACAAGAACTTCTTAAAGCCTAGAAACAAAAGTCATTTTTTAAACTTGTCCACTTAATGTTGGTTACATTTTTACAACCACAGCTATTGTTTCACATACCGTCCTCCAGTGACTGACAGCTCGTAAGATGATGTAATAATTTCTGCCTTTCTCTAGAGGTGAATTATAGAAGCCTCCATAGTAATGTCCATCCCCAACTGTAAAATTAACTTCTGTTCCAACACTTTTGAGGGAGATCTTGGCAGCGATGTATTCTGAAGACAGTTTATTTTTGACTGTGGAATCTAGACCTCCATGGGAGGAACAGTCAAACACCAGAATGTCTTCTATAGGAAGCACAAAGACTTGGTATGAACTGTTAAAGATAGAAAAGAAATCTGTATGTTAAATACTGTTTTTTTTTTTGTGCAGATGCAAAGGAAGGTGCAGTTATCACCAAGAGATACCTGATCCTAAGGCCCACGTCTAATTTTCCCCAGTCGCATTCACACACTCTTTTCAAAATGTGTGTGTGTGTGTTGTACCTTATTAAGTCCAGTGTGCTCGCTAATCTGCGAAGCCTTAATGTTGGTTCTGGAGTGTCATACTCTCTGTAGTAAACGACTGGTACAGGGGGAGCTGTAGGGTGATCCAGTCATGATATTATAACACCAGCATTGATTAGAGGTGGTACAATACAGTTGTAGGTACATCCATACCTGGTAAAGTGGTGTTAATGGTGATGGTGACGGTGAACCTGGCTGACAGTGCAGTGATGGAGATGTTGTAGTTTGTTAATGGAAGCAGGTTAAGACAGATTTTGAGCTGCTCAGCCTTGGATTTCAGATACTGTTGTCTCATATCATAAAAAGACCATTGGAAATCTCTGGTACCTTTGTATATAATCTGCAACAGTTTACAGCAATAACCATTAATACATGAAACAGAGAAATATACAAAAGATACATTAGGTCTAACTTAAACCATTTTAATCCTTTAAATTTGAAAACAATTTAAATCTTTAAGATGAATACATTTGACCGGTAAAATATTCCGGGTTGTTGTGATGCAAACATGTCAAATTCCTTAGCATTTTCCTTCCATGCGAACACCAAGAAGTATATTTGTTGTCAAAATGTTTTGAACTTGTTGTTTTCCCTGTTCCCTCCACTCTTAGCCCCAAATCACACCTAAAACAGCCCCAAAGAATGACACAATCCCCACCATGGCTCACATAGCATGGTGTTGCTAAGATGATGCTATTATTTCTGAGCCAACCTTAGTGTCAACATACCATTCTGATATTGTTTTTCATAATAAAAAGAGTTGGAAATGAAGTAATTCTGTATGAGGTATATTTATTTCTGTAGATATTATAATGAACCACTATTGTAGCTGAAACTATAAACATATGAAATGAACGTTAACCCCCCTGAAGCTCCACCTCGACCCCGACCTGTGCTTCCATTACATGAATAAATCACAGCAGCTGAAACACCATTCTCTTTTTTTTACCCTGTAAGATTCTGTGTCTTCCTCATATTTTTCTGCTCTCCACTGCACACACTTCTCATTGAAAACATGCAGATGAGTGATGGGTGGCTTTACTTCTGTAACAGCAACACCAGCGAAAGATGCAGATCATATTTACTTATGATGTGATGTCATGAAATATACAACATCTGGTGATGTACTCACTGGTGCACCTCATGGTCGCTTCCTGCCACACACACACAGAGACGTTGGTTCCTCTCCAGCTGTGATATCCATCCACACACCGGTGGGCTACTACACTGCTGTTGTACCACACCACCTGTGCATTAGTCAGAGAGGGAACTGGACCACATTTAGCTGAAAAGGAACGAGTTATAGAATTACTCAATCACTCTAGATGTAAAACAGTACAAACCAGAATGGGAAAAAAAGCAAACCTCTATAAGCGTTCCATATTGTTATTAAATAGATAGATAGATAGATAGATAGATAGATAGATAGATAGACAGATAGATAGATAGATAGATAGATAGATAGATAGATAGATAGATAGATAGATAGATAGATAGATAGATAGATAGATAGATAGATACATAGATACATAGATACATAGATAGATACATAGATACATAGATACATAGATACATAGATAGATACTTGCCATGTTATTTAGCCTATAATTAAAGCATGAATAGAAAAAACATAGTCGTCTACAGTTCCATCAACAGACACTGATCCAGTTACAAAGAATTGTGTGTTATTATGAGTTAGTCACTGTACCTCTGCACTTCATAGAAACCTCCACCCACTCTCCTGATAAAGCACACACTGAAACATTATTTCCACTCTCCTGGTAAAATCCACCCACACATTCATACAGAACCAGGCTGCCTGGTCGGCTTGTGTGGTCCCACACCAGGTTAGTATGGGGAAGGATGAGAGGGGGTCCACAGCTTATTTCTGCACACACAATAAGGATTAGCACAGACTAGCGGCCTTTTTTAATAATACAGGATTTATATTAGCTGGTTAAATGTATGCATACATAGAGAGGAGTCAACTTTGATTGATAAAAGCAATTATTTTCAGATAGAGATGGTATGTGACAACATGTGCACCTTCACACCACAGATCAATATCCTCCCATTGTCCATTGTCTCTGCATACTGAGTAGTTTTTCAGACTCCGACTGCGATATCCCTCCTCACACTGGTAAAACACCACACTGCCAATGCGTGATGCCCCATCCCACAGTATCTTGGAGTGAGGTTTGATTATAGGGTCTCGACACCTAATTTCTACAATGAAAAACAAAACAATACAGGTCAAAAAAGGTGAGCTGAACATTGTCCTTACAACCAGTGGGGAATCAAAACATTGACAAAGAAACACTTCGAAATGACCAAGAATGTTGTTACTGTAGATGACTCTAACTGCCTGTCAGGTTCACCTTGGCAAAGCAGTGTTGCCTCATCCCACTCTCCAGTGGCAGTACACAAAGAAATGTTCCTTCTTCCAACACTGTGATATCCGGTTTTACACTCATATATGACCTGAGAGCCCACAGTGGGAATTTCATTCCACAGTGTGACTGAGTGAGGGATGGTTGGGGGTGCACCACAGCGAACCTCTACAGGGATGGAAATATAGACAAGGTCATTCATATTATTATGATACATTTGAGTCCCAATGTTAAAAAAAACAGATACACTCTTGTTAACTTGTAACCTACAATTTGAAGCAAATACTAGTTTGACTTGAACGTGATGCCATGTTGGTTCCATTAATATCCCATTTAGTTGCAAGTAGATAATTATGGCAGACACAGTCAGTGCTTAACAGTTTAAAAAATTGACAATCTTATTGTACAAAACAAGGCTTTAATTAACTCGTTTGGACAAAATACTTGGAGAAAGCACTGAGACAACATGGAAAATGACAGTCACCTTTGCAGAGGATGTTTGGTTTAGTCCAGGAACCATTCACTGTGCACAGAGACACATTTTCTCCTTCACTGTAATAAAATCCGATTTTACAGAAGTAGCTCACTGTGCTTCCATGAGTGGAGCTGCCATTCCAGACATACCCAGTCTGTGGCAGTGTGGGAGGGTCCCCACATAATACTTCTGGGGCAGAAAGTACACATATTACACATAAGGAAAAATTGAAAAAAGAACAAAAAAGACACAATTAAATTGCACTGTGCCACTGTATTTTGTGCATTTTAAATAAACACATGGATATATTTATATTTGAATCACTTCGATTCATGCGGTGCTGAATAACAACATACATTTATATAGATATAAAACACAATTTTAAACAATAATATACAGTAAAAAATGATTTTCACATATATATATATATATGATACAGGTTTATCATATATATAGACAAAGACACATCATGTCCACCTATGCAATAAAAGCCTGTAACATTAATAAACCACAGTGCTGCCAGGAGCTGTGCTCCTGTTCCACCGCAGCTCAGTGGATTCACTCACAGGGGGATTTTCACACAATGTCTCTTCAACAAACAAGATCATTTTAGATCCACCCACCAAAGTTGCTCTGAAAATCCAACTGTAGTGTATTTTAATTTGTTGTAAATTGACTCTACCTTGGCAGAGCACATGCGGCTCCTCCCACTGTCCAGCAGCGTCACAAATGGAGACATTTCCTTTCCCAACGTTGTGATAACCAGAGATGCACTGATAAATCACCTGGGTTCCCACTGTTGACTTTTTATTCCACAGTATGCGAGTGTGAGGGAACGCAGGTGGGGAACCACAGTCAACCTCTGAGAACCAAAGCAGTGACAAACTACAAGAATTGTTACAGTAATGTAGACAAACAAAGGCGGAAGACTATGACGTCACACTGATGGTTCTGCAAAAAACAAGTCACAATGGAACTGTTTGTATGTGAAATACTATAGAATAGAAAAATAGATTTGCATAGATTAGACCTGACTCAATAAGAAAAGAATAATAGAAATGACTTGACAATGAAAGAAGACTAGACTAGATTAGATTACAATAAAAAAGAATACAATAGAAACACTACACTCATCTACACTACAGAAGACTACACTAGATTATACCAGACTAGAACAGACTAGATATGAACAGAATGATAGACAACACTACTGCAGACTAGACTAAAATTGACTAGAATAGATCAGAATAGAATAAGATAGAAATGAATAGAATAGAATAGAGCACTAGAGCACAGTTGACTACACTAGATTATACCAGACTACAATAAGAGTGATTGATGGTTTAATGATAATTAATAATGCATAAATAATCAAAGTACATTGTAACAGACAGTAGTGTGGTATTAGCATAATGGTAGGATTGTGTTACCTTCACAGACCATAGGAGATCCTCTCCACTGTCCTTCAGCTCCACACACAGACCTGTTGTCTCCTCCTGCCCATATAAAACCTTTGTCACAGGCGAATGCGGCCACACTGCCATATGTGGTTCCTGTGATTGACAGCAGCTCAGTGTTGTCCGCTGTGACAGGCCGACCACAATCCACCACTGAGACACAGACAGACACAGGTTCATGCTCAAGGTCCCAAAACCAAGGGCAGAAAAACAATATTTTTCTTTTGTTTTAAGGAGTTTCAAACAGTAGAGAACAGATAATATTAATATAATTTTAATAAAAGATTTTCTTTTTAAAGTCTTAGCTTCTGTATTTTACACAAAAAATACTCATATTTACATAAAGGTGTGTAGATATTCTTTTTCAGAGGAGCCTGAAATGAAACCCCAGGACTATCCACACTAACTCACAGCCATTGACTGTAAGACAATGGATTCATCCAAAACCCTCTGTGACCCAGAGTAGAGTTCGAATGTAACGTCTGGCCCCAGTTTACCTCTGCAGGAGGCCTGGTCTTGTTTGGGATTAAAAGGTTCTCTTCCATTGTGAACTCTATATCCCAGCTCACAGCGGCACTCAAAGGTTCCATCCAGGTTCCTGCACTGACCTCCTTCTCCACACACTCCTGTCAGGCTGCACTCGTCAATGTCTGCAGAGACAATCAGAGACAATCAGAGAGTCAGAGTGGCGGAGTCAGAGTTAAAGGTCAAGATTTGTCAGGGAAAAATAAAAAAAAGCTCAGCCATGCACAGATCGACTAAAAGTGTTAGAATGTTGACAACAATTTAGTAAAAACACCAAAATTAAACAAACCAAATATAACACAGCAATAGCAAAACATGTTAAAATTATGGAAAAATTGGCAACCAGCCTACCCATTCCCCCGAACCAAACAGATAATAAGAATGATAGTTGCATCATTTCTCACCCTGACAGTTAGTTCCATCATTTGGGATGAAGCTGGCCTTGTTGTTTGAAGGGCTGTAGCCAGGCAGACAGGTGCAATGGTAGCTGCCGTACGTGTTATAGCATCTGGTGTGTTGTCCACATATCTTCATATCTCCTATCTGACACTCATTCTTATCTGTATGGGAGCATAAACAAAAGATGTTGTTTGTTACATTTGGTTTACAAAGAAAGAACAGAATAGACAAAGTTATCAGAATGTTTCCAAGGGTCAAGAAGTTTTAACGAGATTCTCAAAAGGATCCATATGCTGTGAAACGAAATAACATAAAATATTTCAACATCTTTGGGAAAAAAACTCAAAGGAGACCTGTTCAAAGAGTCTGTAATAACTGACACAAGACACAAGCAAGTGTCTTTGTCAGAAATTTGACAGTGTCCAAAACCCCGCCACTGAATTCTTGTGAGGTTCAGACCATGAAAAGTCAACCTCTGTAGAAAAGAATGGACCTTCTGCAGAATGATGACTCTGGAAACATATCATTTATTTATATAAGAACAACTTTAACTCTTTGACCTAATAGATGTTTCCCATGTTTGTAAAAGAAAGGGAGAAGGTTTGATCAAAATGACACAACTCTCACATGAAAACAAAGAGGTGGAAGTTGAAAACTATTTAGAATCTAGACTTGGGGAATTTTGGGGGTTGATATAATCATGAAATCTCACCATCAGACACCTGAACATGTGGTTTAAATTAACATCAGATTAACATAAATGTTAAACATCCTTCCTACCTTGACAAGAGGTTCTTCCATTTCCCACAAAACCGTACTTGCAGATACAAACTTCACCAGAGTTATCTGACTTATTTACACATATGGCGTGGACGTGACAATTGTCACAACCATCCAGACCTGCTGCAGCTGGAATACCTAGTAGACAAAACAAATAACAGAGGGTTTGTCTTCACAGATCTGGGACCTGGTAGGCTTTCTTATTTATATTATATAATTTAATAATATATATAATAATGTAATAATATAATATTTATATAATATATAAAAAAAAAAACAGCCACAAGGTTAATGATGATGAGACCCGCTTCTCAGAACTCTCACCTGCAGAGGCACAGAGCAGAAATAACACAAGCATTCTTCTCTCCTGGTTTGCTTTCAGTGCCAGCCCTCTCAGAAAAGCCATGTCATGTTCTCCTCACTTCAGCTCCTCTTTGTCTCTTCATTTCTCTACATCCATCTGGTGGTCTACAATGACTCTGAGCATGTTTGATAACATGAATTCAGACGACTCTGCCGGGTGGGTGAGATGAGGTCACTCCTTTTCTTAATAGTCGTTGTTCAGTGGCTCCATTTCTGACACCTTCTGTTACTCTGTACCAGTGCTGGCTCTAAAGAAGTGCACGCCCATGCTGCTGGACTGATAACAGCTATATTTGGCCCATCAAAAGCACAACTCACCCACTGACACACGTTTGCGTATTTTTTTCATGACGCTGCCGTTCAGCCTTCAGTGATGAAAGGTTAAATATTGGCAAGAAATAAATTGAAAGTATTACAAATGATGCTAGCTGATGGTGGTGTTAGGCAACAGTTCTATTTAAAAATATTAATTAGCAAGTTGTTAGTAAGAAATAAGAATAAAGAGTTATGAGATATATTATTTTGAAAATCCTTGTGGAACATTTTGTGACATATAGAGAGCTAAGAATATCAGAAAAACAACTGAAAACTTGACACAGACGGCCTCTCCCGACCTTTTTTTGTTTTGAATTTTGATTTTTCAGCACATTAATAGGTGATTGAAAGATATAGATCTATATCTATATACAATGAGGTTACCTCAATTAGTTTATGGTGTAACCATAACTTGAGGTTTTTAGGTTATAAGTGGCTGAATTCATACTCTGTCTAACCTAAAAGTCCAAAGGACATCGTGACCTACTTCCTGTCAGTGCATTGTGTGTCGTCGCAGCTGAGTGGATGTTGGTTGGTGAGTCATGGGAGTAGTAGATAAGGTTGATGTTCCGTTATCTCTCTCTGTGCAGTCACAGTCCTCGCCAGTGTCTCGCTGTAACTCACTGTTGGTCTGTAACTATTCCGACAAGTGTTCATATGCTATCTGTACTATACATGATATTCTGTACCTACAGCACATACAAAGTCACATTGTGAGTATTTTTCATTTGATCTCTTGAGACCTGTATGTCATTTAGAGTCGCATATTTTGCCAAATCATTTCTGGATGTTTTGATATCGTCATCCCATTCCAAAAAACAAGACAAAACTGTAAGTTACATTAAAACTGACCTTTTATTTATGGCACAGACCAGTAATGTGTATGAACACATCAATACTCTAAAACCTTTGAATGAAATGCTGATGTTTTTTTCAGATATTATACACGGATTACCTTTACAGATCAGGATGTCCCTTGTAATTATGTAGAAAAAAAAATTTTTTTTAAGTGCTCAAAGGTGCACATGGTAAACAAACTAGTAGAGGAAGAAAAAAAAGAAGAAAAATACGAAAAAGAAATGAGAATTAGGAGTCTCCAATATTAGTTCTGTCTGCAAGTGTGTTTGAAAAAGACATTCACAAGAGTCCTGCACACAGCGAACAGGGCACCGATTAATGTATTTCTAAAAATGACTGGAATTTGAGGTTGAGACCAAGAAGAAGTCCACTTCTGCTCAAGACACTCCACCAATCAGAAATGAGATGACAGATGATTTTTTGACTAAACTAGAAATACAGAGATTTTGCCCGTTTGAAGAAGGACATTTCTGGGAACCCCATTTAAATCCCAGGTGAAAAATACTGGACTAGAGTAAATGTCAGGCCTATATATAAATATAAATATACCTTAACTTAATGAACCTTGGACCAGGATCTGTGCTGGAAGTCTGTCAAATCTGGAGGACCAGGAGGGACTCGTCTCGACTTTAGACTTACAACATCCTGCATGATCATGAAACAGTGCAGGAACAGCAGCGTCCACTTCCTTGTGGCGTCACCACGTCTTCTACCGTAGGTGTTTCAGGAGCTACCGTTTCCTCTTCTCCACAGTCTGACTCCGAGCTGCTGGAGAAGGCCAGCACTCTACCACACACCAGCTCAGCAGCTCTACCATTCATGATAGACAGATCTGTGACTGTCTTTTCTCTCAGGGACATGTCCCCATCGTCATCGTCATCAATCAGCACAAATTCCTTGAGGCAAACTGTTGTTACCCCATGAAGACTGCAGTTCTCTGCTGGTCCATCAAAGGTGGGGGCGTCCATAAAGGTCAGATTTGAAGTCTCAGTCAGGGTCTCCTGAGGGTCTGTGGAGTTGTCCTCAGCTCCGGAGTAGGCCTGGCTGGTAGAATCCATCACCTACATGTAGTACCTGGTCACACCCTTTTAATTCACGCCGTTCCTTAGATCTGTGCATTTGGAGACGACATCCAGCATCTTGGCTTTCCATTTTCTAGGAGGTTTTGTAAAAGCCACCTTCTTGGAGTCATTGTAGACCTGCTTGATGCTGCTGCTCCCTGTTGGAGAAGAGAGGAAGATATGCTGGCACTGTTGCCCTGTCCTCTCTTCTTCATTGAGTGTCCCTCAGTGCACTGAAACAACACAGGCAACAAGTTTTATCGAGACCTGAAAATTGCGCCTTTGTGTTTTCAGGAGCTAACCCTTTTCTATTTATTTGTTAGCTACTCTGTTAGCTAACTTAATTTGGTTACCTTTAGTTGTAATCGCTTCTAGGTATTACTATAATTTGATGCTTTTTCTGGGTAGCTTCATCATTATTTTTTAAGCTCTAGGTATAGGCATAGGGGGTTTTTTTTCATTTGTACTGAGATCTAGATATTGTTAGGTTAGCTTTTGTTCAGCATTGCAGTGTTTTAGCTAACTTTTACTTATTATTAGGCTTATGTATATTATAATTTTAAACTATTTAAGATAAATCGCTCTTTTTTAATATTAAGCCTGTCTTGTGGCTGTTTTATTATATACCTTATTTTTAGTCTTTTAGTGCAATATTTGATCTACAATTTACTTATTACATAACATTAGAGTAATTTATGTTTGTTCGTATTATTCATTTTTTGTTAAAATGTTATGTACTGTATGTGTATGTTACGTCACATTCAAGAACATCCAATACATTCAGTATTCATGTGTTTTGTTTGTAATTTGTTGCTTTATTTTCCATACCTCACTACTCTACACACTCTAAATGCACTGCACTCTGTAAACAGGCCTTACACTTGACTTGAGTCATATGCACGACAGAATCAGGACTTTATAAATGATGCACAGTTCCAGTGCCTGTCAAAGCTGAGCTCCAGCCTCTGTGGCTGAGCAACAAGGGATGAAAAATACATTTGAATTTAAACATAGTTACAGCTTCTGTGCTCTCAGTGGTGACAGATGGAGCTTTAGCAGAGCTTTGATAGTCATCGGAGTACATGTAACTAAGTTGACAGTGGATATATTTCTTCTTTGCTTTAAGTGTAATCTATATATTTTATTCGATATACATTGCTGTATTTTCTCCATGACTGTATACGTGTTTGTGTGTGAATTAACATCTGTACACCTTCTGAGTTTTCTGTTGTATTTTTTATATTTCAGACATTCTCACATTTAAGTTGAAATGTAAAACATATAAATGTATTGTTTGATATGTGTCCACCCACAGATTGTATGCAAAGCTATTTTGAAGCATTTCAGTGTCTTATACCTTATCGTAATCTGGACACATTATTTATTAACAAATATTTTTGCTCTATTTTGTAACATTTCGTTATATCTTTTGCTCCATACAAATGTGATACAACATGTTAAACACTGTACACAACCCCAATGAAACTGCAATACTGCTCTATAAATATATCATCCAAAAAAATCTGCAGAGAGATGGCAGCTGCAGGATCACACACACACACACAGACACTACAACTGTATGAAACCAATATTAACTTAAAATAGTGCAAAACTTATTTTTACCTTATGCTGTCCACAGTTGATTCCCACGTCTGTAAAGTCTCTCAGATGAGAATCACATGGTAACAAGACAAGGACCGGGTTTGTGTATGAGTGTGTGTGTGTGTGTGTGTGCTGCTGATCTTCACATCTCCACATACACTCTGTCCTCTTTTCCAGTGCCACAGCTTTAAGACCGTGTTCAGTCTTACTTCAGCTTTTACCTCTCGTACAGTTGACCTTGTGATTCTTTCGAAAATGTTGCTGTGGGGCAGGCATGTGTGAAAAGCCACTCCTCTCTGCTTCATGCCCTGAATGTGTTCCAGTAAATAATACAGTAGGACAGATCTTAATGTACATGGAGGATGAAGGAGGATCAAATATTTAAGTCTTTGTGGCTCACAGTGATGACGTGAGCATCTTAGCCAGGTACAGTCAATAACTCTACATGGTTTCAGACAATACGCTGCTGTTACTGCAGGTTCTATGAACCAACATCACAACAGCTGCTGGTGAAATAAATCAAGCATCTAATGACATATTTCTGGTTCATGGCTTGGCTTAACACGACCAGAGGTTAATTACAATTTGCAATTAACTTCTAGTGCTTTGACCTTTCAGAAAAACATGCAGTCTCACATTATTCTGCCAAGTGTGATGCTGAAGTGAATCATTTTTCACAAGATGCAGCAAGGAAAAATATCTAAAGTCAGCATTTTAACTCAAAAGACACCATCACGCACACAAAGAGTGAGTTTTACAGAACACAAGAAGACAACAACCGTCAACTTCATTTGTTTCAACTGTTTATTAAAAGCACGACTCGAACAGAAACCAAACCAAGTTCTATCAATTAAAGTCACACTAAGACAAATTTGTTGTGCCTTGACAGTACACACACATCAAAACCACTCAGTAATCAACCCCTATGAATCATTCCAACCATGTGAGTGATGCTGCCTCTGTGTTGCTGCATCTGAAAACCAAAATCCTGATAAATACTCTTATCACTCTCTCTATCCATCTCCCAAATCCTAATTACGACATCGCCTGGGATCAACAGAGGTTCCTTGAACTGGGCAGTGACCTTAGCCGGTGCAGTCACAGCCTCGACCCCTGAAGATACAAAGACAGAAGTGACAATAGTGGATTATTTCCCTGCATGTAGTTAAAGGTAGATGTTTCAACAACAAAATCACTGAATCTGTTGATACCTTTGTGTTTTTCTATTTCAGCAAGGCACGTGGACAGCATCCACAGACCTGGTGCCGTCTGTGATCTGAAGCCCAGGAGTTTGACTGGGAGAGAGAGGAGCCGATAGAGGGAGTGGTCAAAGAAAGACCACCAGCATAGCAGGCCGGTTCTCCAGGGAACCCGGAGTTGAACCTCCTTCATGTTCTCAGGGTCAGGCTCATTGGGTCGATCTGTTGGAACAACGACAAGGGTCAGAGTCTCCAGTTGTCCCTTAACACTAAACCAAGGAACAACGTGACGCACGGTTAGTAGTGTGTGAGAAAAGACAATGTTGGACTTGGATGTGTGTAAAACAACAACCACCTCATTTCTGACTTCAATATAACATGTAAGACAAAGAGGGGACAGTGTCTGCTGATGAATTATATCTTTAAGACATACTTTCACGATCCCTCTGTGTCGATCCTCTGTCGCCTCCTCGTTGCTGTTTGTTTGACAGCAGTGTCAGGACACTCTCCCACACTGGGCTTCCTGACCGAGACATTGCAGACAAACAGATGTCCACCTCCACTCCTGCATCAGTTTGTCTGTACAAAAGCACTTGAGCCCGCAGTGAGAATCTACTTTTTTTCAATTCATCAATCGGCTGAAAGGTTTTCAAACTCTGACTTATGCGAACCAGACCTGCAGATGGACGTCACATTATCATCAACCTTTGAATTAGTTTATTTCATATTTTTATTTAGTAAGAGATTACGAGGAAAGCAAAAAATAAGTAACGTTGTTAATTTTGGCTGTTCCTCGGTAAAGACCATTACCTGCAGGGTTCAGTCTGAAGCTATCATCAGTGAGCACCATCAGCATTAGTCGACCACAAAGGAACTCTGGGAAACACAGTGGGATGTCCCTGTATTCAGTGTCTGGATAATCCCAGCCATAACCAGCTGCACTGCAGAACCTCCTCAGTGAGACTGAATCTAATCTAGTATGTAAAACACATGTAGACTATGAGACACATGTAACAAGAACAGACCTACAGGTTAGCCAGCCACATTTATTTAGCTAGTTAGTCCTGTTGAGATGTGTCATTGTTTTTTTTGGACTTGTAGACCTGGACACTGTGCCTAAGGTTATAAATAACAAAAGCTAAAAAATCTTAAATCAAATAAAAGTCTTACAAACAGAGGACCTCAACAACAAGATTTGACTTGATTTGACAAAGTCAATGCAAAGTCTTTTTTCTAGACGTCAGGACCTGAAAACCTAAAAGAATTATTTTTGAATTTCAGGATTTATCACTGGAACAACAATTGATTAGTGCTGTGAATGTTAAGGAGTAACTGCGAAGATGACAGGGTTTTTCCCCCCTCCAATAAGTAATTTTTTACAGTAATTTGTAAATTTGTGCAGCCTTAAAATGCTAATAATTAACTAAAGCTCAATGTTTGTCAACAATGGTAAAGGAGGTGGCTGAAGCTGACTATAAGTGACTAAATGTTTGTTAGACTTAACCCTAGAATAACTCATGACATAGGTAAATAATCAGCACAGAATTGTCTTAAAATTTAACTAATCTTTGTTCTAATTTAGACTGTTTTAATGTTATAAAATATACCGTCTAATATCAACGGAGTTGTAAATAAAACCTACAAGTGTGGGTGGACATACCTGTATTAATTTAAAGTGACAGAACATAAACATGACATATTTCATTGTTTGTATTTTAACATTCAAGTGTATGATGATGACGCCGACCTGCAGCTGGTCACCGTGTATTCAGCTTCAACCTTCACATTCGGCGGTGCAGTTTTTCTTAGACAGCCTTTTCTGCTGCTCATTGCTCTGCTGAAGAACTTTGTGTAGAGATAAATCAGACTCGGGAGTGTGTCGCTGCAGAGAACTTTTGTTCTCAGTAACCTGTGAGATCGATAAATGTGAAAGTAAACTATATACACTGAAAACGCGGCTAAAGACGCGGCCACAAATTTACGTATATACATCATTTGACGTTAAAATGGGAGCTAAAATGTGCCTTGAATTATGCGTTACTGTTTTCTTTTCTTGTCTTATCCCCTGGCTGTAACTATTATGCCTAGAAAAACATAAATAGTTCCGCCTCTGTTTGACGCCATACTTTCCACGACTACGGCAAGCGCAAAAGACAAAATACACACATTTCTGCGCGTAAAATGTATAAACTGTGAAAGGGCAAAAATTGAGCAGAAATTTAATAAATAAATAGCAAATACAAAGTAAAAAGCAAGTTAGTCTAATACTGTACCGAATAAAACTTGAGGGCTGAGATATAAACTAAAGCTGTGGCTATAATGATATCTACAAAACCAACAAACAAAAACAAACTGAAGACAACATTACTATTTTCCAGGACACAAAATACACAGAGCTAAAATGTTTTAAAAGGTTCTTTAATATACAGCAACAAAACAAGCCCAACAAATTTTCATTCATTCTTTTATTACTCTCTATATATTATTCAGCAGTGTCGTTTTATAATTATTTTATTCTTGCAATAGTGGTTTTATTTGGTATTAAAACATTAATTAACAGTGGCATGGCTAAGTGTACTATCATCAGTTGCAGAGACTTTGCAATGAGTCTGCCAGACAACAAGACACCCACATTTAAAAAGAAACATTGTAAATGTATTAATACATGTAATTACAACAAGTGTAATGATTTGATGATGTGGAAAAGGAGATGACAACATTCATCACTCGGTTTTTGGAGGAGTTTCCTGAGATGCTGGAGAAGATCTTCCATGAATTCATCTCACCCAAACAGTAGTAGCAAAACAATGCAGACTGAATTGACTGCAATCAGCGGCACTGAATAAACAGAATGAAGGTAATGAAAATATTTGTGTTTAAAATCTTGTCATAAAGGACCTTCTCCTATTTATTCATATCCAGCAAAATGTCTTGTTTTAATTACCCACCTCTCATCACTGTTCTAACAGAGCGGACAAGGTTCATCAACTGTGCTTTGACCCCTGGTTCGTCTCCAAACCCTCCAACACTTTGGTCCACTCCCCAACCAACTTAAAATTTGTAAAAACAAACAACCAAACAAAAACACAAGACAAATCAATAACCATCAATCATTATAACAACCGTTAATATATTGTTTTTTATGGAAAAGGTTTCACTGTCATAATTGAAACAACTAGTATACGACTTTTGAAACTATTAAAAGTTTAAAAGTGGGTTAAACAAAAGGAGCAGTGTAAACTTGATTTAGTGTTCCAAGTATCAAACTAGGAAATTTGTTCAAATACAATTAAATAAACTAAGACAGTCTTCCTGGTTCTTTTTCCGAAATGAATAAACAAATATTTTACACATTACATGTCAAAAAATTTAAACCTGTGAATTATTTAAAATTGAACAAGACTGTTTACGTTTCCTGTAAATTAATAATTTAACATTCTAGTCGGCATTAGCTACCTTTGCTATTCAGCGTAAATGACAGTCTACAGTTGTCATTGCACTTACTTTTACTGAGAAACCTCTCTTCGTGTAACACAGCGACAGCATTTACACAAAGAATTGCCGCCTGGATGAGAGCGTACAGCGTAAAGGCCATATTCTTATTTATTTATAAGTGCTTAGCTGCAGCTACTAACACAACATGCTAAGTGGCAGCTAACTGGCGCTGTTTACGGATGACGTATGCTACGGCGGGCGGCTGAGGTCAAACATTTACAGCGCAAAAATCCACGAAAACAAAACGTAACCCCCCCCCCCCCCCCCCAAAAAAAAACAACAACTTTTTTTTCCAAAATTAAAAACTTAACCATTAAATGTATATTTCAATTATTAAAAAAAAATCCTTAAAAATTAAATATAGATATATTAAGTACTGCAAGGGTGGCGCAGATAGCTGGAGCCTATCCAAATGGCATGTGGCATTGTGAATGGATCACAACCCACATATAGAGCCAACAAATACACAGACTTACAGAGATGCGTGTGGTCCAATTATAGAATCAAGTTACCCCAATCACCAACCTGTATGTTGTAAAGAACCTGTTGTAAAGATACATTTATAACTTTTTTATTTGAAAAAACAAAACAAAAACTGCATACCTATAACTAAGCAATTATGGATAAGTGCATTACAACTGCGCCCACGGCACTAACTGCTGGAAAGGTTTGTCATAGACGTCGATGTTTCGTCTACACAAACTTTTCACAAGACTTCATAAGAAAAACGCTTTAAAATAATTAAGAATATATATATATATATAAAATAAAAAAAATGGTTGTATGTGGGCATTTGCGTTTATAGTATCCCTTCTGTACTCACCTAAAACAAAACACACAACAGACTCGTAATTCATGAGAATAAAAATCTTTATTAGTGTTTTATGAAGTCTGCATAATATGCCACACGCCTGAGAAGCTCATGGTCAGAAAAAAAGGAACTAATCTATTAATACCGCCCTCTACTGGTAAAACAACTGCAACATCTACTGTACTGACAGCTTTGCAAAGAGATAAAGTTAAATACACACATACTGTACTACTATTATGCATACGCTTGTCTGGTCCACGTCAGTTTTTATAATGTATATTTTTTTCACATTCATATGTTTTAGGCCAAAGATAAAAAAAATGTAATACTGGACCCTAACACGTGGTTCGGCTCCTTAGATCCAAATACCACTAGGTGCACTTGAAGTACAATCACTAGTGCCATAAGGTAAACACATTTACATCAAAAGAGAGGGAGGAAAGGGAACATGTTCAACTTGCAACAGCCACGTAATGACAATAATGGCAGAGTTTAGGTTAATAGGTCTTGTTGTACATACCATGTTCTATAGATAGAACAAATAAAATACACACAATATAACACAGAATGCCCAAATCCATGTCCAGGCACATTCATTGTTCCCATGAAAGAAAACTCTCTCCTCCATAGTTTTCTGTAACATTGTTTTGTTAGGCCAATTAAAATTAGACATTGACCCGTTTTGACAGAGCACCTTAGCTGTTAGAGGTCTTGTAAGATTTTACAAAAAAGAAAAAAAAAAAATACAAAAGAAAAAGCAGAGTGATGACTGACTGAGTAGCTATTGTGTAGTTTTTATATGCCATTACAGGAAGTTGAACTTTTGGGCTTGAGATAATTCTGCTGTTTTAAACTGCACAAAGGCTGTCATTTTTTCTCCAAAAATCAATTTCAATTGTGGCTTACATGACATGCTAGTCCTGGAAGTTGCATGTAGTTATTTTGTGTTGTTTATGTATCTTCCAAAGCAATGTGTTGATATGACTGATTAAATATAAGAAATGCTCCAAATGTGCAGGCACTGAGGAATGATTTACTGCAAAGCAACAGTAGAGCAGCAAAGAAAGGCAGCAGAACAATGTTCTGCACTGAACAATAATGGTTGACACTTCACCCAAGTTGCTGACCATGATTTGACAAGGCTGTTGTCGGTAAATTGCTGATTCTTTGGCCAAAAAGTGGCTCTATGAGAGCTCTGACCAAATTTGTATATCTAGGCTGGAAAAGTTTCTATAACTTTGGATAAAAAGTGACAGCCCTCCTTCTTTTAAAATAGACAAACATGTGTTGTGGAGCACATTTTATATTTCATACAGGTTTATATGGAGCAGTGGTTTTTCTTTAGACCAAGACAAAAAACTCTGTTGGAAATTGATTAAAAACTTAACATTCCATGGGGGAAAATAGGGAAAAATCACCATCCTTCACTTTGGAAGCTAATGTGGTCCTAAAGAGATATTTCACAAACATGTATAATATTGAAAAATACAACAACAAAACAGCAAAACAATGAAGGGGCGTGGGATTTGTTATTTTCAATTTCTCCTGGCGACACATTTAAAGCCTCACCTGGAGACCCCAGTGTGGTGTCAAAAAGAAAAGGAAAACAGAAAAGACTGACATATAAGATTATGTTTTCTGGTCCCTGCCCAGCACTCCTGTCAAAGCCTGGCCAACATCACTTTGGGATCTAAACCAGGCTGCCGTTACGAAATAAACCTCAGCCAAGTTGATTTTAAGGGGTAGGGAATATTGATTTCTAATTTAAACCAACATTCCTATTTTTCTGTTGTGTTACATGTCTTATAAAGACCCATTAGTTACAAAGGGGGACAACATTGTCATAAAAAAACCCAACAGAATTGTGGCCAATAGCCACCAAGGCCATCATTCTTTCACATAGTTTCCTTCACTTTACAAAAGAAAGTTTTTTCCCCAAAGTAAACAGGTTCAGAACAATGGTTTGGGGGGTGGGCGTTGCAGGGAAGGTAGGGGTTGGAAACTAAATAAATGTTTAAGCATTTAGGCTTTTCTTACTCATACAAGCAATCCTCAATACTGAGAAACTATTCACAGATATTTTTGGTATTTCCTCCTACACCCTGGACTTAAACCAATAAACATTTTATTTGTACCACAAATAGATCTAATATTAAGGATTTGGGAAACAGCAATTTAACAAGGTGCATGATATAAATGGGTAACAAAGTGCCAAATCTTTTCTTAACTGTTTAGTTTGTAAATGTGTATGTAGGTGCATTTGATCTTTTGTGTGTATGTGTGCGTGTTTGTGTATACATTATGCAAGTGCGATAGTATAAGGTTCAAAGAAGGATGTGGTTCCAATACTATGGGCATGTTACAGAAAATTAATTCTGTTGGGTCTCCATGGTTTTCATTTGTTGACTCGTATGTTTAGAATTTAATCATCTTTGTAATAGGCTGAGTTTTTTTCTTGAGTCGTTTATGACATGCTGGAACATCGTGCAGATGGAGAACCCATCTGGGTTAGAACTTTGTCCAGCCACTGCAGTGGACCATTTAAATGAAGCTCTATCCAACAAGGAGTGCTCGTGACAGTCTGCCGCCTGGAAAACACAGGAACATAATATCAATGACTTTGATGTACAGACAGGAAATGTTTACTACCATTTCTGTAAGTGTGTGGAAACTTAAAAGGCCTGGTGCAGGTGAACCTGACACTACTGCTGCTGTAGCTCAAGAACACTGGAGTACTCTCTAGCTCTATATAGTATACTTTTATTATTATTACTGAGTATTTTCAATAGATTCCCACCTTAATGTTTCTCAATGATGACTGAGCAACACTTATTATAAACTGATAAGTCTTATATAAATTTAAAAAAAATCCCTAGAGTTAGAGAAGTTAGAGAAGTTTTGTATATGCCATCAACTGAAGGAAATCCCAACTGACAAAAATTAGAGAACAGAAAATTGGTCACATAATCTGTGCAGCTCTACTCAGACTTGTAGATTTCCTTACCTGTACTCAGCTCCCCAGCCTTTAACAAAGCTCATGCGTATGGTGCACATCCTGGTTAGCTGGTAAACAGCTTCAAAACCCTGGTTGACCGATTGAGCCAGCAAGGCTGCAAATTCTTGGTTGTTGAAAATTTTAAGATTACAACCTTAAAAAGAAGAAAAGACAAAAGGGTTAAAACCAATTAACAACAATTGGATGTTTCTCTATGTTTCAAATCCAATATCTCTCTGCAAATCAGGCACTTACCTGGAGGAATTTTACACACAGTTGCTGGATGCCAGCCATACCGCTGGTTGCAATTAGGACTCTGGACAAAGATGGCACTATCACTCAGACACTCTGCAAACACTTCGCCTCCAATGTAATAAAGTCTAACTCCTCTTCCTGAAGAAAGAAAAAACAGATTGAACATATTTTTTCCTATACCACAATCATTAGAACTGAAGTTAAGTAAACTGTTTTCATACCTATGTGCCTCCTGGTCATTTCAACTGTGGCATTCCTATTGACATTAGAAAGCAGGCCCAGGCAGAACCGCTCTGAGTTGGATGGATCTGTAAATCCATCTACTGTCAGGGAGGGTTGCGAGGCATGAAACGTCTCCCCAACGCGCTGGTTCAGCTCGTAGTAGGCTATAGAGCACCAGAAGGCCGGCTCTGAATAAGTCACAGGCTGCAGGTCTACAGCAGGAGATCGTATCAACACAGTTATTCTATAGCATTGTGTATATAATCGTAAAAGTAAAAGAATGTTGTATATGGAACATAAACAAAGGCTCTATTAGCTGTTGGTAGTGAAGCTGAACAGTCCTAATGCAAAGAGAGGTTAGATACTAAGTGTCCAAAGTGTTAGAATAATTCAAATTTCAATTATTTGTATTGTATTACAAAGTATTGTACTGTTGACTTTAACATGGAAAATGTTTAAAAGAAAGCAAGACAGAAGTTGACCAAAGACACACCATTTAAAAACACTATTCACATTTACTTTGACGTCTGATAAAAAAAGGAAAAGAAAAAGAGGAACAGAATTTGGATCTCACCCATGCTGTGATTGACAGGTGACAGAGTGCTGGGGGAAAGCTCTGCCGGTGAACCTGATTAAAAAACAACAACAACAACAACAACAACAACAAAAGAAAGATCATCATCACTTTGACAACAGTGCAATAGTTAGTCTTTAATTTCTTTAAACAAAGAACATATCACAAAATAATCAAATATCAGAGAATACCTATTAACTGGTTTGTTAGGACCAAAGATGAAACAAAAAAGATTGTCAACATTAAAAGTCTTATGTACCTGTGTCCATACTTTGATTCATCTGTTGATCGCTGGCCTCCCCATCTTCACTGATGTAGCCTGGTGGAGGCGTCTCTGTGTGAATGATGCACAGATAAAAGATAAAAAGATTTTTTAAGAGTTTTAATATGACTATTTAATGTTATACTGAAGACATAGTACTGAACTCAACCAATGCTGTTATTGTTCCAAAGTTTAAGGCATGAGTGATTTAAAGTAAAACTAGTGTTTGCAGTCAATAATAAGTAAAATATTGACATTGGTTCAATAGATGCAGTTCTTGATGATGATGCCTATCAAACAAACAATCACTTACAATCACACGGGTTAGAAGACTGAGACCACCTGACTATAATACTTCTGTCTCTACATGTAATCACAGAAATAATCCTTCATGTATAAAGTTGGGCTGTGTGAAATTGTACTATATTTCCATGTACTCCTGAAAACATCAAATAACCTTAGTGTCATCACTGTAACAGCCTTAATCAAGTGCTGAGGTAAGCTTACCGGGGATATAGTTGTTTGGAGGTTCAATTCCTGCAGGAAAGTTTGTGTTCTCAGGTATGGAGTGAGTGTAGTCATCAAGAGGTGGGAGCTCTGGCAGGATTTCTGAGTGTCTTGGCACAAGAACAGGAGGCAGCACTAAAGTGTAAAGTGAAAGACAACATATGAGTTTCCAGCTGCTTTCCAAATTTCTGTCTTTTCCACAGATAGAATTAATTAGTCTTACCTGGGGTCTCCACCCTCTGGTAATGGTAGGGGTTGATGCAGACTTCGTCCTTCTTGAGATGAAAGGCATACTCACATGCCTCAATAGCGCGCAGCTCATGATGGCTGTGAAGATCTGGCCATCGCCACAATCGGCAGTAGATAACATGGGGAAGCCCCTTCCTGTGAGATACCTGCAAGCGGCCATCCAAGGATCTGATTGGACAGCAGACGCAGCATGGTAGTAGAACACAAAAATATAGTGAGCACACAATTTGGAGGGACATGGTGTGACAATGCATACATCAAATCTGTACAAAATGCACAATATTTAGGAATAGTTACCTGGTTTGGTCAGGATAGCTGTACAGGCCCGATGTATCCCACTGTTCTATCGTATGTGGTGAACTCAGCCCACATATTTCAGAGCAATTGCTGTGAACAGAGAAATAAAAAGAAATAGAAAACCTGGGGCATTATTATTCAGATGACCATATAAGCAATGCAAGCATCACCCTTACTAAATATCTTGTTAATAATTATTAAAAACACCAAAAACTGAACCTAATCATCTGAAATACTAGATGAGGAATTAATAAATCATTAAATTATAAATATTTTTATCATGAGGGAATATCTGGAGGCATTTGTATTGCAACAACTGCACAAAGAGGACATAGAATACAACTAAAAAAAGTGACTAAACTCGTAGTAAATGGTTAGGTAATAAATGTAATTAACAGTTTACCTGGGGATGGTGACACACTTAGTGTTGCAGTTTTGGGTTGTGATCGCTTTCTCCAACTCGTCAAGCTGACCTGTCCTCCTTAACTTCTTCACCAAGCTCTTTACAACCTTTTCCCACCACTTATCCTCCTGCCCATTCTGCTCACTGCCACCTGCTCCTCCCTGGCTATTGGTTGACTTCTTCCAACCCAGCAACCTCTTCACCACTGGAGGGGTGAACGGGAGGATGGAGGACATCTTAGCTAGCCAAGTTGGGGGCCTCCAGGGAACTCAACACAAGTGTTTTCGCACAGTGACAGAGGGATTCTGGAGCCTTAGGTGAGACCCTTGATTTGAAGGGTCCCTGCTACAGACCAGTGTCAAACAGGTAGCCAGGATTGGGAGGGTGGATGCGAACAAGATGCACACCCTGTAAGGATTTTAAAGAAAATGTAGGTCATTGTGGTTATGCATGGCAGTACTTAGCAAAGAGAGAGCTCAACTTCAGTCTTTCCTAATGTGATTACCCACTGCCTCCAAGATGTTATAGTCTTCAAAGCTCAATGTAATACTTATTCCAATTGATTTTTCCTTAACTTGGTGTTGTAACACAGTTATGTTTTACTAGCGAACTGCACTCATGGACAAGTCGAGACGGACCAAAAGCTTTTTTAAATTTATTAACTAATTTGTAATAGTATGCCTTTAATACACAGGGTGTGCCTCATACCACCAACACTCGGTCTGTGTGTTTACATTTGAACATACAAGCAATCACGACATGTTTTTGATTACGGTAAATAGTTAAAATTAATATAATGATTGTGATTAGTGATAGCACAGCCCTGTTGCTTACTGGCAGCCGACGTTTTGAAAGGTAAGGACAGTTAGCTGCTACCTGCAGTGGAAGGCCTTCCCTGCTTCAGTCAAATCACAACAATAACTTTCCTGACGTTAGCTCGGCGAGAGCTTAGTAGCCATAATAACATGCTAAAATAGCCTTAGATAACCGCCAAACGCTAAGCACTGCAGTAAATTGCGCGAGAACACGAAGAAGTCATAATACAGTCAACTGCGCTGCTCCTTTTGTTGTCTCTATGGAAAAAGAAAACCTTCCTTTGCGCAACAGTCTCAAGTGGCGCTTCTTTGCTACCTAAATATTATCACCTTGTCGGCCAAAATTAAATTTCCAATTAGTCAACACAAAATAAATTATAGCGTTGTGTCATTGATTTTTCTTCCCCATCTTAGTTGTGGGTTGTTTGTGAATCTGTCCTTAAAAAGACGGTTAACTCAAAGAAGCATCCGGGACGAACTCTTGCAAACTGACCGTGGGCTAACCAGAGCTAATGCTAAGTCACTCACATTAACGTGCTTCAAAGTGAAAAAACAAACAAACATAGCATTTAAGAACTCACCACAGTTTTCCAAACATCCACCTCTGTGAAAAACCCTCACGACAGCCCGCAGTCAGTAAAATAAACGCCCTAACCGTGAAATGCTAATGCTACTAATTTTGACAAGGGTTGTCTGTCTCTCAAGTTGCTACCAGTGCTACTGATGCTAGTGTTAGCCAGGTTAGGTTGACCGGAACAAGAAAACAATAACAACATGATTGCTGCTGACACAAGTTAGTCCACTCATAATCTGACTGGAGGATTATGACAAAAAAAATAAAAAAATTAAATGGTGGAGCACTATTGATTGTCACTAAATATAAGCAGGGGAGTAAGTATGTTTTACTTCCGATTTGATTGAACGTGTTGACGATGAAAGGGGAAGACTTTTGGCATTTTGCCAATAAAATGAAAATCCCTATACAGTGCCTATCATAAGTATTCACCCCCTTAGATGTTTTACCCTTTTAGTGGTTTCATAAATCAATCATGGTTAATAAAACTTGGCTTTTTAACACAAAAATTTATTGGAAAAACCACTTTAATGTCATTATGTATTTAAATTACAAAACACCTATACAAATGTTAATGCTATACTAATATTCTGTTTCAAGATCAATTTATTTAATTAATTGTATTTATAGTTAATTATTTTCATTTATTCATCTCCTTATCTATGTAACACACCAAGGCCTGGGAATGGTGGTTTAAATGACAATAAAGATGAGTCTTTTCAATCCTACTGATTGGAAGCTCAGCTGTAGGAACAGTGGCTCCACCCCTTCACACAGTTGGTCAATTAGTTTGTAGTGGGCTCACCTGGTGTCATTATAAAATGCAAAGCTGTCTGAGTTGGGAACGTGTGCCAGTCTTTAATTATCTGTGGTCATGGGGAGATGTTTGCTTCTCTGTGCAGTCACTTTGCTGTTGACAGGGGCTTTGCAAGGTGAGTCACAAGTCAAGAAATCCACCTTTTGTACCTAATTAGACCTTCTTTTTTTTTTTTTTAAAAAAAAGAAGCAATTCAGAGACAGACTGTGATGTGCAGTGATTGAAAATCCAACACATTTCCAAAAAGTTTGTTCTGTTTGTGTTTACCTTCTCTAATTAGTTGTTTCAGTTGTAAGCAGTCATTTGAAGTGCAACCAAGTCTCTAAACCGTGCAAGGACAACTCACAGTGTGTTCGCTACACAAATGTGTGCAATGGAGAGAAAGACTGCAAGGATGGTTCAGATGAAGTGGACTGCCCAACCGATTGTAAAAATGGTATAAAATTGACTATGGAATATTGCCTTAGTTGTATTAGGTTTTTGGCCAGACAATAGTCTGATATAGCTTTATTCAAAACAAAGCAAACAAAAAACACCCAAAGTGTTTTAACGTAGTTTGAATATTCCTTAAGGATGCGCAATGTCTCTAGGTTTCTTTTGATATTTTTTAACTTAGTTCCTGTTAAAATGTTTAAAAACTCTGGTTTACATTATATTTGCTGTGGTAGTGTGTTTTTTTTTTTTTTAATTTTTTTTTTTGTGCAGAGAAGATCTTTATTGTAACATCTGGTCAATGTCCTTGCCTTAAAATTACATTTTCTCTTCCAGATCAGTTCCAGTGTGCCAATGGGATGAAGTGTATTGAGAAGGAGCATGTTTGTGATGGTATACCACAGTGTCAAGACCGTTCTGATGAACAGCAGTGTATGAATCACACAGAGAAGTGCATTCACCACTGTGACAGCCACAGTCGTTGCCTGCCTGCATATTTCTTGTGTGATGGAGTGAAGAACTGTTTGGATGGCACAGACGAGGCCAACTGTGGTAGGTTGGAGTAACAGTTAGTGATTTGGTAAACTGGTCACACGTTGACAGAACTAAAAATGCTTTAAATATCAACAGTGCAGTAGCTACTCTCGTTAGGTAAGTTTAAATCATGTGGCAAAAACACTGTAGACATTGTTGATGTTGGTCAGCCACTGCAGAACCCAAGCTTCAAAAGCTGGTCAAAGATTCCAGTAGCAATGAACAGTTATGAATGTCATCATATGAACTTGAAGATAGTTCTGTCCCCCTCCTCCCCCCAAATTTGAGATCTGAGACGAGGCAAAGAATGATGCGAGCTTGTGATAGACATCCCCAGCATAAAAAAAGTATCTTTGTTTGGAGGAGTACTAATTATGACTCAAAGTGAAGATATGTAGATAATTAGCTGAGTACTGTTAAATGTGCATAATGGCATTGTAAAAGTGCTCTAAATCTTAGTCAAGTTCTGTTAAATCAACTGATGAAGTCCTGTGAACATCACCACATAAATCTGCCTTGACATCTTTCCCTTTGTTTATTTAAAAATAAAAAAAAAATTCAGAGGACTCTGCAAAAGATGGGAATCAGAAAGGAGAAAGTGCCTCTACAGCCCCCCCTGCCATCAAATGTTCTCTGGGGGCCAGATCCTGTAAGGACAATTCCGAGTGTGTACTCTACAACCACGTGTGTGACGGAGAAGCAGACTGCAAGGATGGATCAGATGAGGAGGAATGTGAAACGGCATGTAATGCAGGTAACATGGACCTATATGGGCATCCAACCTGGACAGTGCTTTGAATGAATATCAGATGATTTGTTGCCCTTTAGTGACTGGAGAGCATGACTAAATTAAAATAACAATACAGTTACCAAAAACATTCTAAACATTACATCATGGAGCAACACTCATCCAATAACTGCTGAAAAGTTGCCATGAGTTAGCTAAATATGTGCTAAAGCTAGGCCAGAAATATGTAACATTCACCAAGGAAAGACCTAGAGATATCAGAAAGAAAGCAGAAATTAAAATTATCCAAAAGTTTCATATAACGGAAAAGAGTAATGATATATATACTGGCAAAGTGGGGAATATTAGCACTTGGTTAATGTTCATCCAAGTTGGGCATTATATTAGTATTTCACTGCTAAATACTGTATCTAGCCCCACAAATGCAAAGTAAGAAATAAAGCTTGTTTCATTTCTTCCTGGAGAACTTAATTGGAACGGCCTGACATAAAACACTATTTTCATTATCATTACTATTTACTTACTATTTTATTACTATTTTCATTTCATTATCTTCCAGTTTGGCCTAGAAATATAGGCATATCAGTGAACAGTGTAATTCTGTAGTCACACCTCACAGGTATGAATGGATTACAGATCCAGGACTACAGTTGTATTTAAAACAAACAAACCTTGACTTATCTCATGTGTCCTGTACAGACCAGTTCCTGTGTGCCCATGGGAAAAAATGTATTGATAAGAGCTACGTGTGCGATGGCGTCCCTCAGTGTCAGGATCGCTCCGACGAAGCAAACTGTACCAAGTACACTGAGGGCTGTGCTCACCAGTGTGACAACAAAAGCCGATGCATTCCCAGCAGCTTCCTGTGTGACGGAGAGAAAGACTGTGGGGATGGCAGTGATGAAGCAAATTGCGGTAAGCTAAATGTGAACCACCGGTGCTTAAAATTCCAGGTGTTTCAATGGAAAATGGTGATATTTCAAAATAAATAAAACACCTACAGTCTAATATTGTGTTAAATCATCTTATCACCTTTGCAGTCTGACTGAAAGAAATGTGGCAACAGAATATTTTGATTTGATTTGAACTTTTTTCCTCCCACCTTCCTCTCAAGTCTCCAAAATGACTTAACTGTAAAAGTATCTTCAGTGCAGAGTCCTCCTAGAGAATAACATTCATTCAAACTTATGACCTATGACAAACGTATAACTTAAAACTTGTTTTTTTTGGATGTGTATGCTATATTTATTTTTGAAGTGTCAGTCTTTATCGTCCCAGGAGACACCATTTGTCTAATATGCATGGCTGAAGTCGACTGCTTTTGTAAGTGACTGGAGTTGTTTACAAGCTTCCTGGAAATGAGGATTAATTATGAATCAATTATGTGGCTCTGATCATTTGGTTTCTAACAGTTTCAACTCTTCATATACACCCATTTATTTATATGGGTAACCTAATTTAAAATGTCTTTTGGGTTAATCATCATGTCTGTAATGACTGATTGTCTGACTCCCTGCAGGTGGCGTAGGCTGCAGTTCCACAGAGTTTAGATGCACCAGTGGTCAGTGTGTGTTGGCCACCATGCACTGCGACGGTCACCCAGACTGTTGGGACTACTCTGATGAGGACAGCTGTGCTGAAGCGCGGGTTTGCCCCACCAAACAACGCTGCCTGCACAGCAAGGAGTGCTTGGTGCAGGAGTGGATCTGTGATGGAGAGAAGGACTGTAAGGATGGCACAGATGAGAAGGTGTGCACAATATGACAATGTGTAGACAGTTGGAGTTTGTATAATGCCACACTACAAATGAACCATGCCTTTAGACTAGATGAAATCTCCCCAAACAAAGTAAAGTCTCTTTCCAATGGTGCATTTAAGTTCTTTATGATGAACAAAAACATGGAAATGTAGTTAATTTAACTAATAAATGGATCTGGTTCATTTCCAGGATTGTCCTGCGACTCCTCTGAGCTGTGGGAACTTTCAGTGGTCATGTGACTTAAAGACCCAGTGTGTTCCTCTGTCCTGGAGGTGTGATGGCACCAAGGACTGTGAGGATGGTCGCGATGAGACCGACTGTAAGTAACACTCGGTGAAAACACATCTGCCAATTGTTAACATGGACTCTTTGGACAGAGATAACTCACATTCATTACTCTGGGGGGTGGAGAGGGGCTGCTCAGTCAAGGCACAAGTCCTAGAGCCAAGTGCACTTTGTCATTTGAACCACTGCATTGTTGAATGTGGTTGGAATAATTTGGACTTTCATTTCTGGGTGTCCCAGGTGGTCCGGAGACATGCCTACCTCACCACTTTCAGTNNTGCCTGGATCCATCCCTTGTTTGCAATGGCATCAGAAACTGTGTAGATGGCTCAGATGAAAAAGGCAGTTGCCAGATCCGGTGCTCAGAGGCTGATAAGCTGCGGTGTTCCCAAGGCTGCTACAGTACACCGCAAGGAACGGTGAGACAGGATGCAATCCAAACTCAGGCTGGGTAACCTGGTGGCACTGATGTACTTCATTTATAAATAAGAAGTGAATTAAATTTTTAAAACAAGCTATGGCATTGTTAGTCTTTAAAATAAGGGACATATCAAAAGTCTGGCCCATGGGGCCAATCAGGGCATTCAAATCTTTATGTAAACATTTTATGGTCTCAATTGTAGTACAAACATAAATCACCATTAAACTAATTGCAATTTGTAGCTTTTTTTTTTTCTTTTTTTTTTGGCTAACGTTTTACTTGGTTATCAGGATTTGGCCATTCAGTGTTGACTCCATTAGCCATTTGCTGCCTTTTCAAGTCTAGCCTTTTTTTTCTTTCTTTCTTTTTCTCCTTTTTGGCCAGTTTAGATTTTTCTGACTTTCTTAGCTTTTAGTTTGTTTGTTTTTTTTCTCCTATGTAAGTCATGTACATCAATTTCGAGGTGATAGGTAAAAACATAAGCTGTATTTGTAATCTGATTTATGTTTATTTGCTGCAGCGTTGTCACTGTAGGACAGGATACAGGCTGCTGGAGGACGGACAGACTTGTGCTGACATTGACGAGTGTGAATATCGAATCCTGAATTTGTGTGGTCAACTGTGCATCAACACTATTGGCTCTTACAAATGTGACTGTCATCCAGGCTTCATAATAGATGGTGATGGACACCACTGCGAAGCCCAAGGTAAATGTTCCCCAGCATGGCATCACTTAAGGTTTAAAGTAAATATAGAGGCTTCAAATGGGAGGACTCACAGAACAATACCAAAGCATGTTATTTATTGTGCCATCTTCTCAGGGGAGCCCTTCCTGCTGGTGTCAGTTCAGACTGATCTGCTCATATTTGGACTGCAAAACCGCAGCTTGAACATGTTGCCCTCCTCTGCCAAGAAGGCCATCCTTTCCCTGGACTATGACTGGAAGGAGAAGAGAGTCTACTGGGTCGGTCTGGACTCTCGGGGCATCAGGTGGTCCTCACTAGATGGAAAGACTACAGGAACACTGATTACAGGTCAGTGGAGTGTCTGAGAACACTATAAAACCCAAACATAACAGACCTATATAGATACCATTGAGGAAGAAAATTGTTTCTCAAAGCTTGTAATAAGTCAGCTTATCCTTTTAATCACATGCCTTCTGATGACGTACAACATGGTGGTATCCACAGGAGTTAGGGCTGATTCTGTAGCTGTGGACTGGCTGGGCAGGAACATGTACTGGATCGATGGGGTGAACAGTCAGATTATCGCCATTAGACTCACCACAGGTCCGGCACAATCACAAGACCACAGTGTAATCCTGGATGAAGATCTGGATCAGCCCCGCTGTCTGGCTCTGCTGCCCCAAAGAGGGTGTGAATAAGCAAAATGTTCTGTCAATTGTTTTACCAGCTTTATTTATATGTACTGTATATATTCAATTTTTTGTATGCTCTGTGCCAGATTGATGTTTTGGACAGATATCGGTAATATGGTGAAGATAGAGCGGGCTGGGATGGACGGCTCAGAGAGAAGAGCTGTGGTGAACTCCAGTCTAGGCTGGCCTGGTGGTGTGGCTGTGGACACTATCTCTGACAGACTCTTCTGGACTGACGAAAGACTTGGGACCATTGGCTCTGCCAGTTTGGATGGAGATAACATCCAGGTACACTGCCATCTACTGCACTGTGCAAAATTCTCAGGCTTTGTCTCAACACCAGCATCAATTGGCTGAACAAAGTTGTATTTTGTAGAAGCAGAGTCAAGTATACCATAAGTCAGTGACACAAAATTGGGTCTAATGATTATCAATTTCATATGAAGCTGGAACGAGAAGTGACTCAGAGTTGTAGCAGGCTTTAGAACACAATTGCTACCAGTGTGAGGTTGAATACCCTATAGGTCATACACCACAAGAGGCACTGTAGGTAAAAGACACAAGGTAGCAGTAGTGCATATGTGTCAAACTCAAAGCCTGGGGGATAAATGTGGCCCTCCAAGTCACTTTGCGTGGCCAGCGAGAGCTAAAAGGTGTTTAGTTGCCTTTACCTTAATGACTGACTTAATTTTGTTGTTACACGGAGCAATGTACAATATTTGTAACTTGAATAAATAATGATCAATTGCAGAAACATGTATTGATGTTATGGGGTCGTCAAAGCTATACAGTCTTATAGTTACATCTGGCACTTCAATGGTATTGCTGATGTGGCCCCTGGTAAAAATGAGTTTGATACTCCTGTTGTAGTGTATGCTAAAATGTTAAGTATTAAAGGAAACTGTTCAAGTCAGAGATTGACCAAGGAATCTTGGAGCAGAAAATAAAGGCAACTCCATTTTTTGGAAGCATAACATGTTCAGGAGTGCTGTCAGCTAACAACTTACAGAAATCGGTGTGGCCAGGATGTGCTGATTTACTGTCAGGAGATTATTAAAGAGTTGGTCATCGAAGTGCAGGCTAAAACATAGCTCTGACATGGAAACAAGGTCAAGCAACTTGGAAAAAGCACAAATATAGGAATTAGGAATGAGGAACTGATTTATTAGAAACATAAGTATTCTGTCCATTTGTTTTACTCTGAGCAACAACAGGGCAGGTGTGAGTGATGTGTGATGTTACTGTTATTTTCAGATTCTGCAGCTGAAGGAAACGACAAACCCCTTCTCACTGGCAGTGTTTAATGACATTCTCTACTGGTCTGATGCCAAAAAGAGAGTAGTGCAGGGAGCCCAGAAGCACTCGGGAAAGAAACGCCAAGTTCTGCTGAAGAGATCCAGACAAGCGTTTGGTGTAAAGGTAAATATAAAAGTTCAGGAAAAAAACATTTTCTGCTGCTATAAATGGCATAACACACATGTCACCCTTTGTTTTCAAAGAAGTCCCTGTTTATATGTAGTTATAAACAGGTTTAAAAATATTGCTGACATGACATGCACTATGTGGTGTTTTTTTTTTTTTTTTTTTTTTTTTTTTTTTTTTTTTGTGTGTGTATTTAAATCTTCAAGTGGATTTTACTGACACATGGGATGCCAAACAAAACAAGTTCAGGCTTGGAGATGCTGTTGTGAAAACACTGCAACGCCACATCTCAGTAACTTGGTTTCAGTAACTGCTATAAATGTACATTGGATACTTTCCACATTTGCTCCTGTGGCATTCGCTTGGCTTCCAATTCTTAAGAGCTTGAACATGCTTTTGAAGTCATGACAAATTTGCGCCAAAGTAAGAAATGACAAAGATTTGGATTTGGATTTTCTTTGCCACGGGAGTGAGAGAGTGGCTTCACAGCAACCCCAAAAATCATCTTTGGAAATCTGCTTGTTGTAGATGTACCAAAAGTGAGAGGCACGTGTGTCAGGTAAGAGCATATCCTGAACAGTACAACGTTCAGATTGTTGTCTTTAGGGAGGTGGCCAGTGCTTCACACGAGTGCTTTACGTGCTTTTAGTTGAAGGAAAAAAAAAAGTCACTGCTTGTTTTGCAGATTGTCCACCCATGGTTCCAGACTGGTCCTGAAAGCCCCTGTGAGAAGATCTACTGTTCCCACATTTGTGTGCTGGCTCCCGGCCCAAGAGCTGTGTGCAAGTGTCCATCTGGACTCCTCCTGGCTGAAGATGGCCTGAACTGTTCCATCCCGGCCAATACAGCATTGCTGCTGATGTTGTCTCAGTCTACAGTCACACAGGTTCTGTTGTTAAAATAATTTACTGGACAATGAGGTTTGTGAAGGGGCTGATTTGAAATAGAAATAAAATGGTAATCTTAATAATCTGGGTGTAAATGTAGGATTATGTTTGACTGCAGTGAAGAATTGTCTAATTGTCATGTATAAAATTGGCCTATTGTATTTAGAGTTTTGTTTTAGCTATAATGTATGACAGTTTCCACATTTGAATTTCAGATTTACTTGCAGTCCAGACACAAAGCTACAGAGCTGAAAGGCTGGCCGGAACATGTGGCCTTTCAGTTGACCAGTGTCAATGAAGTGGCCATTGTGGACTACAGTATACGTGATGAAACCCTGTTTTTAACGGACAGCGTCACAAATTCCCTCTATGCCTTCAAAGTGAAGGATTCAAGCTTGGTGTCCCGTGGTGAGATCTTCAAACTCCTGGAAAACACCATCACAGCCATAGCCATAGACTGGGTGACCCTCAACATCTACTGGAGCAGCAGTAAACAACCTCGCCTGCACGTGACCTCTGTCAGGGGTGCCCACACGGCTGTTGTGCTAAAAGAGGGAATCAAGACAGTGGGCTCCATCGCTCTCCATCCTCCCCGTGGCAGAGTTTGCTTCACCAACTTGGGCTTTAAGGGTACGGGTTCTGTAGCTCTGGTGGAGTGTGCTGACATGGACGGTACTGGGCGCAGAGTGGTGTGGAAAGATGCGGTCCAGCCCTCCTCTGTGGTCTTCTCTGCTAATGGAGATGCAATTTACTGGACTGATTCTGGTGAGAATTTTCATATGACTTTTTTTTTTTTCCCCTCATTAGATTTTTGCTGTGGCCCAGGAGAGCCATTTAAAAGGTACTTACTGATAATAGTTCCTGTTCCAGCTTTAGGGATCATTGGAAGTGCGCTGTTTGATGGATCACAGTACAGAGAGTTAAAGGTGGGCAGAGGCCTGGTAGCTGTGGCTCTAAGTGATGAAACCCTGCTGTGGATGATGGTCAAAGGTAATGTCAAACAATGAGTACTCGATGCAATTACTTTCTTTCTTTTTTTGTTTGTTTTTGTTACTATTTATGGAATCAATTAATACACAAATGGTTAAACTAAAGTAAAAACACAGTGAATTATAAATTATCACCATGGTGATTTGGTGTTTTTTAATTTTTATCCCTAGACAAAACCAAACTGTGGTACAGAGACAGGCAGCAGCAGAACAGGCTGTGGTTTGAAGTTGGCACACAAGTGGTCAGCTTAAAGGCTTTCAGTGAGTCTAGTCAGTCGGGTATGTACCAACCACACCACCACGGAATCTTTGACTTATGACTCATTTGTTATTGGAGTAATCATAGCTCAGTGTTGACTTTTTAAATCAAATGATGTTGAACCTGATGTTGAAATGCAGTCTCAGACTGTGCTTGACCGCAGACGACGGATTTTACCAGGTTCCAATCGGTGTGAAGAAAACAATGGAAATTGCCAGCATATATGCCTGGCCACCTCAAGAGGTCGGAAGTGCAGGTGTGGTCATGATCACATCCTGGTCAACACCACCCACTGCAGCCTGAATCAGAGCTGCCCCACAGGGAAGAGGCCGTGTTTAGACCAGCTGTCCTGTCACCCTAAGGAGAAGTTCTGCGATGGTCATGTGGACTGCCCTGATCACTCAGATGAGAACTGTGAGTTTTTAAATAGCAGAGTACTCAAGAATTACCTGGGAAAATAAATGGTGGTGTTCTACAGATGTGACAACTTTGGTCTCGGAACACTAGTGTAAACCGATTGTTAAAATGTGCTACTTGGACAGCAGAGCCCTGTGGATATGGTTAAGAACTTAGTTTGTTTTTGCTGCAGGTTACATTTTTGGGAATTAACATAAGGTTAAAGAGTATCCATTATTGGCCGTTACAAACTCTGTCCTGATCAAATTTCTTTCAGCACAAAATGGCAATGACTTTTGTCTCCATGTACAGTTGATGATAAAGTAAAAAGATTAGTGACTTTGGAGCAATGGTGTGAAAGCTTCCTTAATATACAGAATCGAATTCACACCCTAGGGTAGGGTCTGTAGTTGTCATCAGTCCTAGTAATGCCTAAGTGTTGGCAAGGGCTTCAGTATTTTGCAATAAGGCCTGTGAACTTTGAAATTCTCAAATTCAGAAAGCCCTGTAAGTGTGTTTGTTTTTTCTTTTCCTGCAGGTGTGAATGTGGAACAGTGGCCAGGACTAGGGGCCTCCACTCCATCAAACGTCACAGAGCTGAGGTCCACCGTTAATGTCAGTGTCCAGTTTGTGAACATAGATGACCAGCAGTGCAGTCAAGAGCTCTGCAACAGCAACGGACACTGTGTTAAAGCAGACGAGGACGGAGCCACTATCACGTGTGTGTGCTCACAGGGCTACAGTGGCGACTCCTGTGAAGAACCCTTCCTCCAGGCCATGCCAGTTCCCATCATCTACACAGCTGCAGTGCTCTGTGTAGGAGCCGTCCTTATTGCCGTGATAGCAGCTGTGGTCAA